TTTAAAGGTGTTATCCACAGGAAAGCATGCTTGGGCAAATAAGGAAATTCTCAATTCTTGAAAACGGCAGACTATTTCATTTTTCTTTATTCCTTTTGCTGTACATAAAAAAAGTTCATTCCGATCATTTGTGTCGTTAGCGTCTATTCCTTTCTATTTTTCGAACTGAACCCGATATTTAGACAGAGATCATGAACTCCCGATGACAATACGGTCAATGAAGACATCCGGGATGACTTTAAATGTAGGCCTATATCAGGGGTGGCCAACCTTTCACATACCATGCGCCACGTTTTAAACATAATGTTTCAGATGCGCCGTAAATCTCTTGTATTCCCACGCCTAATGTCCGCTTCTTGTTGAAATTATAAAAATTTATATTACACACACATATATACACACGTATATGTAGTTTTTACAATTTACAACTTCACATGAATAGAAATTAAGCAAGGAAGTAGAATAAATAAAACTGATCAATTTCATTTATGTACCGCCTTTATGAGACTTTTGCTGCTGTTTTACTTTCGCTAATCAGCTGTTTGGCCTAGCGTCGCGTGATTTTACTCCAGGCTTCTTCGAGATTAGGTACTTGCGTCTCAGCAAGCGATTTTACGCTTCGCTTTTGTTGACAACGGTCATTTGAAGTTTGGATGAAAAAGATGGTATTTAGGCGTCATTTTCAGCATGTTGTGGGTTGATTTATAATAAATTTTTTAGGCTTGGGCAATTCAACTGGTTGTTCAATGGTTATTGGGAGATATTTGGGAATTCTGGGCAATGGAAAATCCATGTTTCAAGCTGATAAATGACGATTTTCTATTTTTCCAGAAGTTCTGAACTTTTTACTTCAGTAGGGGAAAAATAGTAAATTTTACTAATTTTTGCTAAAAGTCTAGAATAAATGTCATAAAGTCCGTCCAAAAGCTAACGTCGATAATCGCCTGTTGTTTCTAATTCCAACGAGCCGTAAGTGGGCGACGTGGAGTAAGGAGAATAGATTTTAGGTACAATCAAAAGTCACCATGTAAAATGCAAAAAAACGGCTTGGCGTGGAGAAGCCAAGTGCAATTAACAATTTTGGCTTGAAAAGGGTTAAAGATGCAATGCGCCACCTCTTATCATGCAATGCGCCACGTTTGGCGCATGCGCCATAGGTTGGCCACCCCTGGCCTATATAGTAAAATCGGAAACTGTAGAGTAACAGGATCACAGCTAAGGGGTCGTGTCTTTGGAGGCGTCCCGCTTTGAAGTCAAAAAAATATGGTAATCCTACTTATTCATCTACTTCAGGGGTCGGCAACCTTTCGCCGCTCGCGGGCCAAAATTAAGGGTCGCAAGTCATTAGCGGGCCGCACATATTTTTAGAAAGTTGAAAACCGAACGAATGATACTTTTTATAATAAAAATCAAGCAGTGATGCATCCCTCGAATAGAATTTAAATTTATTTCCTCATTGCATTGCATCTCAAAAAATTCCATTTGAATATTTTCAGCGCCATTGGACCCTTTGCACTTAGCATCAACTTTTCTGCGTTTTGTTGCCATTTGTCTAATTATAATTAAATTATAGGCTCATTAAACGAGTAACTGTAAATTATATAGTTGTTTGGTTATAATATAATTCAGTCTAAAGTATATAATCGTCGAAACGGCTGTTTTGGTACCTATAATTCAGTAAAGCGTCGCGGGCCGGATTATATTACTCCACGGGATCTGGCCCGTGGGCGTAGTCTGATCTACTTGAATATTTAAACGATCCAAGTTTTCTGACGGAGAATAAACTTGATCAATTTGGCAAACAAAAACAAGATGTACAGTCTGGCGGCGATCCTAATGCAAAAACTGTTTGGAGTCTGACAGCCACTTAGAACTACTAGTTTCGACTGTAGTACGTGGAAAAATATGCGATCTCTCAAGCAACAACTAGAGCGAGTCCTCAAGTCAGCATTAAATCAAGCAAACCTCCTCTCAATACTGCAAATCTAAACAAAATAATGATCCAAAAAGAATGTTAAGTCTTTGAATGTTCAGGACGGCGGCCCGCTCATCGAACTTTATAATTACCATATACGAGGTGCGGCTAAAATGAAACGGGACTGACGTCACAGATTGCGCAACACGATTAACCATCGGTAATCAACACGTTTGCAGTGTGGCGTAATATGTGTTCTTTGTTCAATAGCTGTTTTGACACAATATCGCAATTATTTTTGCTTTTCCGGATCCATAAGTGAATGTGATAAATTTCTTGTTGAAAAAAAATGCTGTGCCGAGGTGTGATTGAATTTTTTGGCGATAGGGGGTTCAATTGCAGAATGACGATTGAGCAAAGAATTACCATTAAATTTTTTGTCAAACTTGGAAGCATTATCAGAAACTCGCCCCGGGCAGCAGACTAGTTTGGCACGCCCCTGATTCCACCATATCCAAAAATACCCCTCTATTAGAAGAGCCAGCCCGTTCATCGTGCCCACGGAGGGACAGCTCGTGATAACCAATGAACTTCAAAACATCTATCAATCGACCGAGAACATGGCGGTTTTTCTCGACGTTTCGGTTGTGCCGACGAATAGAAACCGCGCGTCCTTCATCCAACTGTGCTGCAATATTAACATTTCCGAATGCTCGGTATTTTACTGCATTGTCCAGATGCTCCATAGAAGATTGATGATCCCTGGCACGCTCGGAAAGATGTTTAAGATCTCTAAAACCAAATTTACACCAACGTGAGTCACAGGCGGTAGCAAAAAGTAGGCAATAAAAACAAAAAGTGCATTTTTGTCTTCGCTGTAACACAACCATTCGTGTTTTTTATACCAAGTTTCTGCGCAGAATGTACGCCGACGCTTTCCTCCGTCATGGGATTGTTCCAGTGAACAATTTTTTGGTTGATAAGGCCCAAGACGTTGTACCTCTAATTTTTGTTCCAGCGGCACCTGCGAAAACGGAGTGCGAAGTAGTGCATCAACCTTATTCATTGTGAGGTCTAAGGGTAAGAAATGCGAAGCCGGAAAGAAGTGAGGAGCTCAAAAGGAATGTGGAAAATCGAAAGCAAATGGACTAAAGGTTTCTAACTGATTCAAATAGCGAAACAAGCGACAAAAACGAAGGCGAGGAAACTATCAACTCTTCAAGCAACCAACGAACGAGAAGGAATGTGTGAATATGTCAACACGTTGTTGTAAGAAACGTCGGCATTGTGTCGTCATAATTTCGGGGCTAGCCCCGATGATTTAGTAAAAGAAACAGAAAACAAACGAGACAACCGCGGCGAGTGGAAGATAAAAGAGAGAGTACGATATATAATGAGCAACCGGGGCAAAATCGGCGTGAAGGCTTTGCGAGCGAAAAATGAACCATGTCGGGAGAATATGGCTAGTGTAGATAGTCTGTGCAACCGATATTGAGGTATTTTTCGAATATTTTTTATTATACCGAAAAAACAACCGGGGCATTGCCCCGGTTGGCCCTATTGACGCGCCGCCACTGACATACGGTAATATCATTTTCCTGAATGAATGTACAGTTTCTCGAGCAAATAATATACAAATCATTATGACCTTGATCGCACAATACTTGTTACTTGCGATATAGGAAAGAGTCGCCGATGTCGAAGGCCAAATGACATCCACGCTGACAAAAAAAAAACAGCAGTTACAATACAAAAATTAGCAGCCTGAAAAATCGTGCATATTGTTATGGACTTGGATTTTAATGTACCATGTAAAACAGTTACTCTTTCTCAGAAACTTTGAAATCATCATTGGACATGCCAATTTTTTATTATTTATATCCGCTTTACTATCATAAGATCACTGTAGCTTAATTCCTATGTGGTTGTTGAGACCGCCGTCGGGTGCGGACGTAAAATATCAACGGTGGAATACTGGAGTAGGAAATATTTAGACGAAAACTTGGAAATTAGACGAATATAAACCCTACTGAGAAGATACATACAAACTTAAATCAAAACGATGTTGTCGGATACAGTACTGATACGATATGGATCAGTTCGCACCAGATCATGCTGGGCCAGCATTGAATGCTGGCCTGCGTGGAGTTTATCATGGAAAACTGGTCGAAGCTGGGAAAAACATGAACAGTCAAATGTAACGAATATTTGAAGATAGATTGCATAAAAAAGACTACTTACACTAAGCGCATGAATTTTGAAAAAAACTGAAGTTGTAACGCCAGGGCGTGGAATGCTCTTGTCATATTTTACTTCGTTTGTTGTTGTTTTCTTTTATGGTGCTTTTATCCTTGTTGTTTATCGTCCGGTAGATTATTAGTTGAGTGCGTTTGTAATCAAATTAATTACCACATATTGCGCACTGCTTGTTTGTTTAAGTTCTACAATTCTCATTATTTATATGTACAGATACAGTAGAAATTACACTCCATGTTAAAACTCCACATCCACACCAAAGTATTTTCGCCCGAATTATCTTTCGTGTTCCTTTTTTTTTCAATTTACTTAAATGTGTTGTTTGCCACATCCTCACCCAAGTATTTACGCCCGAATTATCTTCCGTGTTCCTTTTTTTCAATTTACTTCAATGTGTTGTTTGCTGTTTGGGGTAAGTGGGCACGGCACGTGCACCAGCACGTCTTAAATCTTTTTTAGATTTTGCCCACTTTCCTGATTTTCCGTACATTTGTCTGTTTTGCCATGTATTGTTTTGTTGTATTGGAAAATCGAAATAAACACTTACTTGTTATTAGAGAAACAGAATAAAATTTGGGGGTTGTCAAATTTTGGAATGCAGTCTGAATTCCAGATTAAGAAATATTTTTGCATTTGGTATTGTTTGTATTTAGAATAGTCCCGTATTCGTTTATGGCCGACACTGTATGTCGGCTGATTTAGCTAGTCGCCTCATTTTTCATTCTATGAAATTAGACCACATGGGCAGAGAGCTCAATTCTTGGTGGTTTGCAACCACAGCACTAATCTATTTTACTAAGTAATACATAAAAATTTTGAGGAATATAAATAACGGACAAATTTTTTTTATTCTACACAGAGTGGTAAAAATAGAGCATAGCTTCACTGCTAATAAGCATTAAATGCCGGATCCCATATGGCCCACACACCAAAAAGAATTGAGTACAGAGAAAAGAAATTAACACGAGATCACAAGTTATAATATTTTAAGTTTATAAAATGTGTACAATGGAGAGTTCTGTAATGTTTCACAAACCCTCTTTCTTCTAAGTTTAGTGGAATAATGATATTGTACATGGAATGACATCCATAACAATATAGCATTAAAAAGGCATAAAACGCTCACTGAACAAAGGTATGAATAGGAAGGAACAGCAAATATCAAATCAGTTTATCTCCCATACTTTTGAAATTCCCATTCCCGATTATCAAGCGGACAAACCTGAAAATAAAATGGGAGTGGTTAATTGTCAAAAATCTAAGAAATGACAAATTTTAAAAAATATTTAAAAAAAATTAATATTAATTCTTCACATAATATTCCAAAAGACATCGTGATTTTGCAGTAACTGGATTGTATTGTTAATAATAATACAATTTTTACACCCAGGGATAGCAAAGTCAAATTGATTTAAATTATATAGATGGCAGACAATATGATGAGTAGGCCATTTTTAGCGGATGATACCATAAAGAGGTTTCAGTCATGTGTCATCTTCCCTCTAATTTATTGGCCATTCAACACAATCTCCCTAAATACTTTAAAAAAAGCATTATAATAAATTTAATGAACAATCTGCAGATAAAGACAATAACTCGAAATTTGCGCTAAAGACATTGTTGAATGACATATTTTGAAGTAGCATTAAAACAATCCCTATGGCAATATTGTGTGAAAAATTTTTTAGGAAAAAAAAAATCACATGGGGAATAAAAATCCAAATATCCCGGTATTTGTTTTTCCAACCTGCAATGAAAAATATATAAAAGCCATAAAAAAATTTGACATCATATTTGAAAATTACAACAATATAAAATATTCATCATTATATGAATACAGAGAAAAAGTATCATTTCACACCTGTCTAGTTTTCAGCCAACGAGAAATACAATGGAAATGAAAAGCATGATTGCAGACACCCCAGGCAACTGTACACTCATCCGAAGTCGCTGATGTCTGGTTAGCTTGACATTCAATACATAAATCCATAATATGATTCCTACAGATAGCACAGTTGTCGACCACAATATCCCAAGCCCAAAGGGCAACGGCATTCCATTTTTTCACCTTAATAAAGTAAACAGTTAATAATGACACACTTATTGTTGAGTACTGAGTGACCCAGAAAACAAGAACACAGGTTATTTGAAAAATATACTAGTCAGAACATCATTTTTGTACTGAGCTACGGAAACATACCCCGATAGAAGTTACAAGTCTTGAATATTTTTTTGTAGAGTAATTAAAATTTTATGGTAACTTTCGTTTTTTTGGGTCAATCCCGCAATAATATTAAAATTAGTGAAGACTGACTGGTAGGCTATATATTTATAATTACCTCAAAACGTTTCTTGGCAGGAATGGAACTACTAGATGATGGCTGATCAACTTCCATTTTTCTGTGTGATATTGAATACTAATTGAGATTTACCTAACTAATAGCAACAAAAAATAAATCGTAATCGTTATCAAAAAATATAATAGTACATCATCAATACTATTCTATTATGTTGAGATGACCAAACTTATCATATTTTCTGAATATGTGATCACCAGTTTGACTGTTTGCTTCAAAGCAGAGGTTACTCCTTATAGCCTAAGAGAGAGAGAGATTTATTTCTACAAACAGCATCAACACTGAACATGAATAAAAAAATTGATATAATAAAATAAAACCCCTCACAAGCTGTTCATTTGCCTAGTGTAAATTATCATAAAAAATAAATTATGAGAGATTTACAGTAAAGAGTCGTGCTCTGAAATTGAGCATATGGACGACGACGAACTAAGACGTATAAAAAAGAAATGGCAAAATGGGTGAAACACAATTAAGTCATAGATTTTATGGTCATAAAAATACACATTTTCGAATAAATTTTACATCAAATGCACATGTTTAAAATCTAGAATAGTGTCTGTTGTTTGTGCTAGAACATTCAAGTTTGCCTCCACCCTCACCGATTGAAATGTTGGTGTCGTGATCCGCAATGTCTGTAAATCTTGTGAGAGAAAGAGATTTTATTTTTCGTCAAAAATAAAAAGTACCATAATAATAAATTAGTAATAATATAATACCATATGTACCATAATAAATTAGTTTAGTACCGTACCGTATCAGAGTATACTAGTATAGACAGGAGGAAGTGATACGACCATACTGTAATTAAAGTTAACTCCCCCATTTCCCTTTTTTGTATATTGCGGTTTTTTTCTTTCAAACAGCTCCAAAAATACCTGTATACAGGGATAAGTCAAACCGTCAGTCTTTTTTTTTTTTTTTTTTTTTTTTTTTTTTTTTTTTTTTGAAATACACAAAATTAGTAAATACAAAAAACTTATTATAAACCTGATTTAATATCTAAATTAATGCTTTACATAAATTTTGTAATTCTTTTTCAAAGGGTTTGTCTACTCTGGAATTTTCTATATTTTTTCTATACATTAGGGCCATTTTTATCTGTTTTTTAAGGAGAGCAATATCAGGTGTTTTATTTTCAAATATTATAGAATTTCTCATTATCCAAATTTTATATCGCACTATTGATAATAAAAGAATAATTGCATTCAAATCTAATGCTGTTATATGACTAAATAAAGGATCATTAAAATTCAATAATATACAAGAATCATAATTTATAACAAAATTTATTCTAATTAATTTTAATATAATTAAGGAAACAAATTCATCATAAATTTTCTGAGTAAACTCACAAAACATAAAAATATGTGACACAAACTCAGGTTCTATATTACATAATAAACATAATTCATTTCCTGCTACTCTTTTGATCTCTGGTTTTGTTTTCAAGGGTAGAATATCCCATATTAACTTATAGTTGAAGGTCCTCATATAATTTGCCAAAATTTTATTATGAATACTGTTACAAGTTATACTGAGATTTGAATTACGAATAATTACAAGTCTTTCCCCATTAATACTTTTTAAAACTTTATCATATATAATTCTATGTTCACCCATTTTAATATCATTCATATTTAAACTATAAGTTTTCATAAAATCAATTATGCTTTTATAATATTCATGTGGACTAAATCTATGTAATATACTATTATTCAATGGTAGACCTAAATAAACACATAATTGTTGCCCTATGTTATATTCTAAGTAATTAAAATTGATAGTTCTGTCACTAAATATCACATTATTTTCTATAGTTTCTATATATTCGAAAACACACATAATATACATAGACATTGTAAAAATTGGAATATTCATTATATCGTATCCCCCCATACATTTTGGCTTACAAATGGTCTCTATTTTGAGCTTTCTTTTTCCATTGAATACAAATTTTTCAATAATTTCATCCACTTTTTTGGCTATATTTTTTGGCATCGGGAATATTTTACACAAAAACAAAAATTGAGGTAATATCTTGAGCTTTATTATTAAACATTTTCCTTCTAAAGTAAGAGGTATTTTTTGAAGATCAACTGCTATTTTCTTCACTCTCTCCAGACAATTATTCCAGTTCCAATTTCCAGTATTATTATTGGCAAATTTGACGCTTAATATTTCTATTTTATCTGCTATGGTAATGTCTTGAAATGAAGGGTCCTTTGTCCATATTCCGAGTTTCATGAGTTTCGTTTTAGTTCTATTCAATTTCATTCTAGTAGCCAATTCATGTTCATCGATAACTTTTAATGCTTCATTTATAGAACTTTCCTTATTTAAAAATAGTGTAACATCGTCTGCAAATCCTAAATTTTTCAGTTCCATATTTCCTGGCGTCACGATTCCTTGAACATTTCCATTCAAGTTTATACTAATTAACAAAGGTTCTATTGCTATGATGTACATAAAAATACTCATTGGGTCACCTTGTCTAATTCCCCTTCCCGGTTTGATTTTTTCACTTAAATAACCGTTTATTAGTATTCTAGTCTCAGCACCTTCATATAGACTGTGTAATAACATGATAAATTTATTTTTTATGCCAAATCTTTCTAAAATTCTATATAAATAATCTAAATCTACTGAATCATATGCTTTCATGAAATCTAACGATAATAATGCCTTTTCCCCTACTTTATTTTGTTCTTGTATACAAATATTTCTAATAATTAACAGTGTGTCACTTATCCTCCTCTCTGGTACAGCACCTTGGTGTCTATCTATGATGTCTGGTAGAATTATTTTGATTCTGTTGGCAAGAATTTTACTAAATATTTTATAATCTGAATTTAAAAGAGTTATTGGTCTGTAGTTATTTATTAGATTTGCTTCTCCTTTTTTGTATAGTAAAGTTATGTAACCCATTTTCATTTCTTTCGGCATATCATTTGTTATAAATATTTCTTGTATTACTTCAAAAAATTCATCTTTAATAATTTCCCAGGTCTTTTTATAAAATTCTATTGTTATTCCATCAGGACCCGGCGATTTGTTTCCTTTTAAGTTTTGGATGACCCCCATTATCTCATCTAGTTGTATTATGTCTTCTAAATTATTTGCTTGTTCCTCGTTTATTTTGCGATATGATTCATCCACTTTGTTTAAAAATAATCTTTGTTTTGTTTCATCACAATGTCTCTTGGTATACAATTCTTGGTAAAATTCCTTCGCAATGTTCATTTTATCTTGGATAGTTTCACATTCATCTCCATTTTTATTTATTAGTTTCCTTATACTTGATTCTTTCTGTCTTGTTTTGAATAATTTGAAAAAATATTTGTTGCATTTCTCATGACTATCATACTCTTCTGCATTCCTTTGTATACCAATTTTCTCATTCTTTTTCTTCTGCATCCTGATTAATTTTTGTTTTGTTTGTTTAAATCTTGTCATCACTCTTTCTCCTTTATCCAGTTTTTTTTTCAATAACTTCAAATTATCCAATTCAATTTTATATTCTTCTCTTTCTTTCTTGGCCATTTTGACTGAAAATCTAATTGTTAAGTTTTTGATTTTTTCTTTTATCTCAATCCACCACTCAGCTTTAGTTGGAAATAGCCACTGTAATGTGATCCAATTGTCCCATTTATTTTTTAATTCTGAAATATATTCTTCTTCATCATACACTCTAACATTATTTTTCCAATAGCCCTTTCCACGTTCTTCCATTTTTGTTTTAATTTCAATCATTATTAAATATACATCGTGATCAGAATAAATAGTTGGTTCACACATTATTTTTTGGACAATAGTTTCATTGGATGTAACATAAAACCTATCTAGTCTGGCTTGAACTTGGTAATTACGCCAGGTATAAAATGGTGTTACATTAGAAATTAATTCAATGGAATCAGTTAGCTCAAAACATTCAATCAATTCATTTAGAGTGTCTGAGACATATTCTCGTCTCGGTCTTTTAATATTACCAGTTCTATCTCTATCAATGTCATGTACACAATTTGTGTCCCCCCCTAAAATTATTGTATGTTGTGAAAAAATAAATCTGTATAACCCATCATAAAAATTGTCTTGTATATTATTATTAGTTCTACATGGTGCATATATGTTTACTAAATGTAGTTTTTCACCATATATATTAATATCTGCTGCTAATGTTCTTCCGTCGTTATCCCATTAAATGTTTTGTAATTCAAAACTATTTAATTTTGATTTGAGTAGTATTGCTACTCCTCTAGAGTTTGATGATGCCGAGTTCCAAATACTGTTTCCAAATGTCCATTCTTTGCTCCATTTTCTTTCTACCTCTGGTGTGCTGTGAGTTTCTTGTATAAAAATGATGTCTGCATTCCGTTTGGAGAGTTCAATAAATAAGTTTCTTCTTTTTTGGTCATCCCGGATACCGTTCACATTCAGAGTAAGAGCAGAAAGAAAAATTACCATTACAATTATTTAGAGTCAATTAATTGGAGATTTAACAATTTGTGTTTAACAATGAATATCAATCTGTATCCATTTCTTCGTCTATAAATTTTCTTGCTTGTTCAAGTGTCATTGTTCGACTTTTTAGTCTTTTTTTCTTCTTTTTTGGACTTTGACTTTTAGGCGACTTAGTACTATTTTCATCCGAATTTTTAGTTACGCTATCTTTATTTATGTCAATGTTTATTGTTTTTATATACTCTATGGTGCTTCCTACACTGGATTCTTTTTTGCTTTCTTCATCGTTATTTTTAGAAGCATCCAAACCGTCAGTCTTACGTCGACTCGTTGTCCAAAAACTCCGTAGATGAAACTTCTGCAAATCGTTTTGATGTTGCACGGTACCAGTACCCTATGGCAGAAAAAGACTGCCACAAACCGAGTACAGGGTATCATTGAAGTACTAGCCACCCCACCCGGCACTTAGGTCAGTAGGTTGACTTTGATCAGGTGTATATGGGCTTTGATTTTGATATCTTCCTTTGTAAATCGCTAGTGCTGCAAGGAGTCAAAGTTTACGACTAGTAAACTTATATCTGTATATTCATCTGTACGACGAGGAAACGGTCGTCAACGCACCACAACCAGTTCAGATTTGCACGGATGGAAGTTACTCCATGCATAGACATTCTTGTTTATATCCGTAGATAGATCCGCCCTCTCAGATATTGCGTAATTGTACTTTGCTGCTCCACATATCGCTTTGCTGCTCTACATATCGTATTGTACTCTTTGTCTTGTGTATTTTACTAGAGTTTTATTTGTATAGTCAGTTTTATGTATGTTGTCCTAGTATAACGCAGCAGTCCTAAACTCTGAAATTGCTGTTATCATTGTTAGGGGTACATGTCGCACATCTGTGTCTTAGACCAGTAAGGTCTTGAACATGTATCCCGTCTCTGTTTTACTGTTTAATTATTATGCAGATACTGTTACATTTTTGAGGCAAATAAACATACATACATACATACAACCAAAATTTCATTTTATATTGCATTTATGATACTTCATCCAGAGTCGTTCTATAATGGCTCTGCTTCATCTGCTACCCAATATTTATTTGCACATGAGCTCTCTATTTTTTTATATTTGGTTATTATTACTATTATTGTATGGTTTTTTCATTACCTTAGTTGATTTTTCAATTCATTTCCCATGAGTTTATATTGACTCTTTTATAAGACATTTATACGAAGACTACAACTTACTGCAATATTTGCACGAATGGCCTTGTACCAGAAAAATGTATTGTGTAAACCAAACTCTGATTTATGATCCAACTCGGGCTTCTGATTATAATTTATATGCATAATTTTTTTTTTTTAGTTCGACCGTAAATAAATATTAATAGGGTCTAACAAAATGAAATAAACTCTCTCTCTCTTTAAACTCCTTCTCCAGTCGGACAGATTGCTTGTTGTTTGTTATATATTTACGGTTTGTTTGATAGTTATATCTCCAGAATTTGTATATTGATCAAAAAACTCAATGGACGCTTTTCCTGGGATTTAAGTTTTATTTAGCTTCCGCGTAAACGCAGAAATATCGTAAAAGTTCTTTCTCGTAAATAGTTTCTTCTAGACATCCAACATAAAGTGATTCGCGCAAAATGCAACATGTCGCGCAAAGCGTTTTTGCAAAAGTCATAAGCTTTTTCTGATTTGTCACATGACGCTTCCGCTCCGGATCGATGTTTTCGTTTGCGATCGTTAATGCATTTGTTGAATGTCGTCGCTTTTCATGTTTGTACATATTCAAACTGGGTAGGGTGGCATATTTCGCGCTGTCGTATTGATGTACAAGTACGGTAGCTGATAAAAGTGTAAAGTTGTATCTGTGAATGCTCGAAATACTGGAATATTGGTGGCGAATTTATTATGCGGTTTTCAGGTTTTAGGTTCTCATCTGTTTAATTGTCTAGGTTCAGAGGTTGCTACCTTTCCCAGGTTTCGGTATCTGCGTATCCATGTGGCACAGAATTCATGAGTTAGAGCACAAAAATTCCAGTGTGATAAGTGTAGATTAGCGAATCAAATAACAATTTCTTTATTGACTTGAAGTTTTGCAAATAAGAAGGTAAATGCCTATTGCTTTAGGGAGTGTAGACAGTTCTAATTGTTCGAGTCTGCTGTAACGATTCTGTCTGTTGTAGCAAGTCTATGCATGCCACTTTCTCACATACATAGTTCATTTTCTTGTGATTTATGGTACCGGAATAAAATTTCACTGAACAATCCATTTTTACTGTATTCACCACATACCGTACTGACATAAGAACCGCAGCCACAATTTTTTTTTCTCTCCTGAATTCTAGTTTGTATAAAGTACCGCATTGCCATGATCTTCTCTTGATCATTGTCTCACATTTTAAAATTGATTTTAAAGGCATTGCCCGATTTTACATTGTTTCATCGTTACATTTTATTGTGTTCTTTTAACTGTTTTTGGTGGACAGGCAAGTTCGGTACTTATACGTTTTTTATTATTTTATTAAGTTATGCCCGTCCTCTGCATTTTGTTTATCCGTTTGTTGTTGTTTTGTTTCTTTCAGAGTGATCACATTTCAACATTCAAAAAAATATTGAGTTATATTTGGAATCGTGTGCTCACTGACAGGCTGAATTGTGCATTTTGGATTATTGCTAAAAGATTTTGAATAGGAATAATGCCTTGCAAGATTCTTGGACCGAAATGTTCGGTATGCTGCAACTTAATAAGTATATGGGCCGTCATCATGCTCGGCTTAATGGGTGTATTTTTCCAAATCAAAAGTCCTGCGCTCTACCCAGATATTGCTATGAATTCTACACAGATTAATAATCAAACATTTGTATATGCTGCGTATGAAGATGCAGCCAAGAACTGTTATATCGCTGCTGGTATTTACGTGGGCGTCTTCTTCTTCAGCTTGTGGCAATGGCGAGTCAATAGATCTCTTCAAACATACACTGTTCGATGATATGTTATATGTATTTTGGACTGCTTCAATGTATTAATGAGAAACAAATATAATGTGCTATATGTTAGTACTTTGTGTGTGTAAGATATTAGAATTGCATAGCTCCAAATGTAAAAAACTATTAATGACCTCTTACGAACTGATGATTATAATTATCATGAAAGGTTATTAAGTTATTCAAGCCATTTGTTGCTTTGCTGGATAATTTATATCCATCAATTTTTAACTCATCCTGATTTCCAGCCAGAAGTCACATTTGTTTAAATTTAAAATTGATTATTATTAAGGATATGCTTTTTATAAAGTTGTCTGAACTCCATTATTGCTTTGGATTATTTTCCCTGTACTTCTCCAATTGCGGTATTATTTGTAAACTCGACATGTTTACTATACTGATGAAGACTGTTAATGTGATCTTTCAGTGATGGCTCTCATGTACTTATTATATGATTGTGCTACTTACTAACTGTTTGAGTGGTATTTTTAGTTATGGCATCATGTAACCTACGATTCCTTTGGTGTACATGACAAAATAGGAGTCTTGTCCTCCTGTGTTTACTTATTTTTGATGCTGTGCTGAGAAAGTCATAGCACGCTATAGTTATTTTGTTGTCGTTTTTGGTTCGATTGGGAATATTATCAGCTAAATTGTGAAAAACATATTATATATATATATATTGTAGTTGTGAAATAGTGTTGTTTGACTGATCCTCTACATGAAATACAATATATTTCATCGTAAGTCTTCACCGTTATACTAAATGAAATCATAATGGGATATTGATTTTTGAAAAAATAAATCTGTGACTCCACAGTTTCAGTTAGTTAGAATTACTCAGTTTTAAATTTAAAAAGTGCATTTTTGGTTCAAACAATTACTCAGTCACCACAGGTATAGATTGCCAGGCACTCCTGAAGTTTGTGCACCAATATGGAGGTAACTAATTTTGTTCGCCTATTTTACATCAAGTTGTGTAAAGGGACTGAAACCTATGGGCAGGGGGTACTGTCCCCGAACTCATAATAAGGAAAATTGAAATAATATGCCCTAACCTGTTGGCTGTTACCCATACTACGGGAGTACCGTTTGTCAGATTAGGTAAGTCCGTATTGACCACATCCGCACCAACAAATCACACAATTATTGCTGCACTTCCTCCCCCCACTAATCAAATTCCTCATAATCGAATATCACAGTGATTTACGAATACCCTGTTTGCTGCTAGAATCTCAAAACAATGAAACTGCTGGTACTAGGATTTTCTGATGTTAAAAGAGCATTACAGGAAAGTATGGCTTACTTGTTTTTATTCTTGCAAGAAACGACAAGAATAGACGTAGTCATCACTGGTCTGAATATAGGAGGGATATTGCATAATAAAAAGAACAAGCTAGAAATATAACACGAAACTGATCGTGCAAAAAGAACAGCGGAGAGTAAATTGAGAATTTCTGGTTTAAGTGTTTTAAACAAGAGTTTAATGCATAGCAATAAAAACAGTTGATATCATTCTACAAAATAAGTAATCTCTTCTGGCATAATGCAATAAAAGAATTTACAATGTGATAAATGGCAAAAACATCGGCTGAGCAGCTTTTTAAACAACATGTATACCTCCAATAAGAGGCACTGTAATCTCACATGACATATATAAGGCATATGACTGCATACAAATAAAATGAATAGGTGTGTGAAGCTATGGAACTCCATTCTATATAATCAATAATACTGTGTATGTCCGTATTTGAATAGTTTTCAGTGTTGAATTAATTACATAAAAAGTTGTTGCCTAGGTATATAAATTTTATTTTAATGTGTTAAAATAGATTTTTTTTTAAACAAAATCATGATCTTAGTTATTGCCAAATTTTATTAAATTCGAATACATCTCTGCATCATATTAAAATTTTGTTCGTCTCTTACAATACTAAATGCACAATAATTACCTATATAAAATAAATTGAAAATAACAGAAAAATGCATAAATTTCTGAAGAAAACCGCTATTCAATTTATTGTCACACCGACTTTAAACGAATTCAGTGAGAAACACGTTTTTATAACATTGTGTATTACGCAACAGGATTTTGACAGCGACACTCCGGTGCTGGTATTGGCTTTTTTACAAGATTAACTAAACTAAAAACGGGCAGATTATTCAAAATTGGCGCATCCCGCCCAATATTTCCTTGCGGGCCGAATTTGGCCCACGAGCAACAGTTTGCGCACCCCTGGTCTAGAACATAAAAATACGACAACAGGTTCTTCTAAATCCAATCACTTGTTAAACATAACTTTAGCGTGGTTTTTGAGCGAGTTTCTCCAGTCACAATAAGGTTACCTGTGACCTTGTTTGGGCATATTTTCAGACAGCAAAATTCACAATTTGAAATCCTGACATGGATTTTTTCCAGGCGTCTACAACAACTGTTGTTTCTCATTTTCGTATGCTCTTCGGTGATATTTTGACCTTCGAGATATAAGCTTCGAGAAGCGATTTTCCAGCACCTCATTCGTTAGCGGCGAATTCTGTTCATCGTCATGCATTCCTGACTGGAGTTGTCTAAAATTATGGATGGAAACAATACTCCTCAGTAACTATCTAACTTTAGATATAGTTGAAAGAGCTGTTGAGGTGACTTGAAACCACAATGGCATGGCATATATTCAAACTAAGACTACAGCTCAGGGTCTCCATTTTTTACACATGAGCTGGCTCCATAGTCATTGGTGTTTTAGGTATGGCCACTACCATGAAACATCAACTCAAATGCCACAATGGGACTCAAAACCATGATATAACAGTTTCATACTTTAAAAAGAAACTCGAAACTTCAGAAGAAGCTGGGAAGGAAGGACCTTACTATATTCATGATGTAATAGAAAATTATAAGGAGATAGTTGCTTCGGCTTTATCTAATACAGTGGTTTCCAACCTTTTCGTCAATAAAGTTTTGCAAAAAAAAAAATTTCTGAACACAGGTTTGAATTAGAATTCCAGATTTCAATTTTGGAAGTCAACATATAAATTTTTAACAGAAAAAGAAAAATGTGCTGAATGCTGAATGAAATGTGCCAGTGCCAGATAAGTAATGAATGCTGAAAGAAGTTCTTGTGAGGCAACTAGAGTCATGGGTAAATCTGAGAGACAGCTTATTACAAGTTGACCACAAATTTCCAATAAGTCGTCACTCGTCACACACTGCTCAATATTGAAAATTGATAGGAAACAATAAGTTGAGCCAGTATATTTTGAGTAAGCCCAATAGTTTCATAATATAAATTGTATGTATGCTGAAATTTATAGCTTTATTATCCATAAGATCGACTAAACTAAAATATGGTGAATCTCTCAAAACTGCATGAATTTTGAATTTGATTATAATCAAATGAAAACAGATATAAAAAGATGTTTGATCATGGGAGATAAATCTTATTATCTTAGTGTGCCATTTCTTACCTTTAATAAGAACATCAGATTAATCAGTTGTAAGGCAGGATGCAGAGGAAACCATGTAAATTAATGCCACACTACCTGTCCATCATTATAATTATACTCAGACAAGCATGGTACAAGACAAAAATAACACTGGATAAAATTATTCCATACTTGATCAACCCAATTACTATTTACCAAACATGACCATGCTTGATGATATCTTAATCAGTAAGACTTTTCATAAAATAAGGTTATTGATTGTTAATGCGAATCACAGACCAGTCAAATCTATAACCATATGGTTATGACTCATGGCTGCTATTCTTGAAAATACAATACATAACCTTTTAATAATATTGTGACAGAATCTTAAATGAAATTCTATACTACAATATGGGATTAATGTCGGCCATTGTGGTACATCACGGAAACTCTTCATATTGCATACACAAAATCAATGCTTGCTGAAATAATTTTATCAGAGTTACAAAATTATTTTTCATTACCATTAAATAGGTATTAATTTCATCAAAAATGTCATGAAAAGTTACATGACCACGTCATAGGTTTACGAGAATATGCCAGATTTTAGTTATAATCATTTAAAAAAAAACGATTTGCTCACTTGCGTTGGTTATATTTATATACATACTAATGCTGTTTCCCTTATTTTCACAAATTTATATTTACGGTAAGTCTATTTAGTGCACGCTTTATATGTTCCGAAATAAAAAATGCGAATATACAACAAATAACTCATTACTTACTCGTTCAATTTTTTTGTCTTCCTATCCATGTCTCCCGTAGTTTCCATCATTTCATACATTTGTTTTATGACAGAAGAACGTTTATTTATACTTGATTTAACTGCAAAACTATATCGACATCCTAGGTGGGATGTACTCAGTGGTCGAGCGGAGTGTTCGATAACATCTGTCAAAGAGATTTGAAGAAAAATAGATATTTTATCAAGCTATGTTATATAATAAAAAAACTGCTCTTGTATGAAAATACTCAACTCTGCATTTAACAAGTTTTCACCAGTTATTATTTTGTTTGCCACATTTAATAATAGAAGCCAACAAATGAGTTTAGCTACTGTTTACTAGTGTAAGCATTTTCTTGTGGTGCCCTACGGGTGAAGAGACCAATTTGAAAACCTTGATGAAGTGAATATACGTTGCCTACGGTAAATCCCTCACTATATTAATATGAATTATTCAGTTAATTCTGTGGCGCAAAAATATCTGAACAATCCAAGTACAATTGAGTACAATTTAGATGAGCTAAATAAAGATTTTTGAAAATCAAACTACACAGTATTAACAAATTTACCCTCTGTATCATTATTGGGTTTTTTGTTTTGTACAATGTAACAACACATTGATTTATTACCAAGCAAAGTGTTAAAATTCTATTCCTATATATTATAAAATGCCTATATTTATATATATATGTTTCTTATGCTCTGTTCGCATTTAGTTCAGTTGCCAAGTTTCCTACAATGCTTACTCTGAAAAATCACAACTCTTCCGAATTTCGGCCACACGGCTGCTATTGGATCATACTCCTCTCCACCAGGATGAGTAAATTGATGAATTCCATCAAGATTTTCATAGTTTTGTTCAAACCAGACTGTTTCACCAAAATCGTTTTGAGTTATTCCTTCAGTCAGGTACAAGAGATAAGTGTATTCGTGCTGAAATATAAGCGTTCGTAAGCCTGACATATAGTCCATATTGCATACAAAGAAAGGGCTGAATTTGTTTTATGTGATACTGAATATATTCCGAAAATTAACACACGGATTAAATCATAGAAGTTATTATATAATTATAATAAAGTAAAGGGAAACCTGATGGTGTTCAGCATCTGGATGTATTCTGGTATGATCGGCTGGTCGTACAAGATTGAGAGCAACATCATAAGGATACCATTTATTTTTTTCGCCAACAAACTCCAACAATTCTTCCACTCTTTGCCAAACAGGGGTTTGCAAAAATTGTGACACCTGAGGAATGAAATTTAAATCACAAAATACTACTAACCTAGGAAAATATATAATATTTCCAAGAAATAGATGGATATAAACAGAACTGTTGTTGAAAAATAATTTCATATTTATCCCAAATTAAAATAGATTAATCTGCTGAGGCACACTGTCTCAATAGGTTAGCTATTCCAGAATAATAGAACTACGTAAAATAGGCTCTCAAACTTTCAGAAATCATATCGCATTACTCTATCCTACAAACCACACACAGCACAGTGAAAAGAAAATCTGACTTTAATAATATTAAATGATGATGACAATAATGAGTTTGATATTATATGCGATTCATGCGCTTGTTTATGTGTTCATAAACAATCATAACAACCAGTTGTCCTATGCAACCAGTTGTACTTCTCTCTCAATATTTTTTCAACAGATTTTATTATTTTGTGTCAAGTTCTGATTGTCAGTAAACATGAAGTAGTATTTTAGATTAAGATAGGATTTTCATATTTATTCCTGGGGTAAATTTGATAAGAAGACAAATTATGTGTGGTACCGCAGCCTCTCATTGGTTACCCATGATGAGTATGGGATTAGTTAGCCGGTTATATTGTTTCAGATGCATGGACTTGATGGTGAAGAAAGCCATAACCAGCGTTTATGCAAACTACCACACGAATTGAATTGATATATTATTGATGCACTGTTTGTAAGCAACTGATCTAAACGACCAAGAGAGCTGGCCAAGCAACTAAAGAAATTAAAAAAAAACTTATTGGGTCCCTGAAAAGAGGCTTCGAATCAGTGATGCAATTGCAATACTCAGTCGATCAAAATATGAGTACTTTATCCTGATCTACAATGCTTACATTATATTGAACAATCCACTGTACATTATCATGATCTTCTAATAAATCAAAATCATAGTGTGAGATTCCAGGTCTCCCAACATTAAGAAGATGATCACGCCAAGCTCTTAATTCTTCAGTTGTATATAAATCATCAAAAACATAAATTCCCCTGAAGAAAAAAAACCTTGAGAGTCCTCACTGAAGATTCTCTAACTAATATAGTAGTTTCTTTAAAGTTTGTTGGAAAAATGACAGCATATAAACACATTATTTAATAATGAATCTTGAATAAATACTTGAGGATTAACATTCTTGATATACTTGAAATAATGATTTTTAAATTCCAATGGATAGAGAATGGGCAAAATGAATTGAATATTAAAATCAGTTCAAAAATTATTATATTTAATATTTCAATTTTCGTTCTAGGAATAATTCAGAATACTGTAATTTCCAAAATAGAATTTTGAGCAACACAAGTATCACAGTATAACCAAAAAAGCCTTCAGACAATCAATCAAATCATTGTTGATCATACCTTCCCTGTATTTCCAAACTTAAACTCATTAAATCCATGTGGCTACTATTTGCTCTTTGTTCAACATGATCGATTTAGAATATATTCGGTATTCCATATTAGGAAATACTATTTTAGAATGTATTTAGAACAGTAGACCATTTGGTTTTTGGCTATCTATGCACTGTGCAGTATACCCTTACTTAAGATCAACTCAAGAAACTCACCTTTTCTGACTGTCATAGTATTTTCGTTTAAGATGTTTCTCATAATCAATCTTCCTATCCGAATCCTTGTTTGGAAATTTGAAATCGCCAAATTCATTCTTTTCATCTTTTTCATTTTGTTTTGGTGGATCTTCTGTTAAAAATAATATAAGAATAAAAATATATAAACCATGATAAAAAAATATATTATTTGTAATGAGAAAATTTTGTTAGGAACACAAATCGGCCTCCACATTTGGATGACAGTAAAATATGACAGTTCAAATATATTACAAAAATACATTAAATTATGAACTTTCATCTTTTTGTTTTGGAAAATATTATTAATGTCAAGTAGTCCTAAGTCTGTAAGTACATTCTTGCTATGCTGTATGCTTGTCCACAGTCTTGTTTAGAGCAAATCTCATTTTTGCAACATTCCAAATGCTTTATTTACCTGTAAGTTCATTTGTAGAAAATTCCATTGTCACTGTTGCCAGATTTCCAAAATAATTAACAGAAGGTGGATGATGACAATATGTTAGACATGATGGCCAGACAACCATTCTTCCTGGTTTTGGATGAACTGTTTGTGATATTTCCAATCTCGATTCCTCAGTGATATTCCGATTACGAGACAAGGTATAGAAAGATATCTAAAGATGGGTGAAAGAGATTTCTGAATCAAAGAGGTTGATGATCATGGGAATGATTATGTGCGAGAGAACTGATGGACTCTTTGCTGATGTAGTGTCGTGGTAGATTACGGCTTCTTCCACCATCACGTCCATGCATCTGAAACTGGTAACCAGATGAGAGGCCATGGTTCGTCATATGATTGAGCCGTCATATTGGCTTTCCGGTACTCCTGAAGTATGCACACCAAGATGTCGCACAACCTGAACCCTAACCTGAGTTCAGGTTGTGCGCCATCTTGGTGCGCATACTTCAGGAGGTCCGGCTATCTCCTCCCCAGAATAAATATGTAAATCTTATCCCGTACCTGTCCATAGCTATTATGCTTCCAATCATTAGCTAAGAATACAGTTGCAATATAACTTCCATCTTCACAATTCTTTGTCACAGGAGGTTTGGGATCAAGTGAATGAAGTACTTCAGCATAAGCTTTTTCAAGAAAAATCTATAAAAAAGAGCCATTGTCAGTTATATATCGTTACTTATTAAACATAATACCATGAAATAAAACAATATATCAATTCACAAAAGCACAAAAAATGTTTTGGGGTTCACACTAGCAAAGATGATATATATTGGAAAATTTGAAAATAAATAAACTTTTATTATGTAATTTCTAAGTTAACCAAAGTTTCTGGTCTAAGGAAATATCATCATTTTCAATTCTAAATGCAATGCTATGTATACTAATTTACCTCTTTGCCTAAAGATTTTTTAATCAACGATTTTGCATTTTTGAAAACAGCGAAGTTGGAGAATTCAGTCTTATTAGCCATCACATTGAATGGTGTTAATCCTTGTCCCATGCTTTCTACAAAATTCTAAAAAAAACAGAAATATGCATAAACTCCTTTGATACAGTAGATATGATGCAAACATGAGATGAACAAGAATGGGGTTTAGTATAATACGGTATTCTACCAGTACTCCTATAGCTGTATAGTGCAAAAATGAGGGTTACCGTAGTTAATATTCATTTTTTTATTACTAATATACAAATTAGTTCATTGTTGTTCAATGTTCGATTACCTAAACAAGATAAAAAATAGATCAAATAACATTATCCAGGTTATATTTTACCAATTAGGCTACATACCTGATGTACAAAATTTATTTTCATTTTCCGTGGATATAAGAAATACAATTGCAGGTTCATAAGTTTATCAGTATCTATCACATGATCAAAAATAAATACACTTTTTCCGTCTTCAACTTCCCATGAATGAAACAATTGGGGTCTGATGTTCTGTAAGAAAAAATAGCACAATATCAGAAAATATAGCCTACCGGTATGTTTTCTGCGGGAAAAATCGTTGGCAAACAATCGAGGACTGGAGGATGAGTGCAAACATTTTAAAATTTATGGCTTACCTTTTTTGCTCCATGTACTACTCCACCGCAATTCAATAAGGCAGATATTATAACACAGCGCAGAAACTGAAGCATCGTGTTATTCTGTTGTAGAATTGTAGAGGAAACGTTCATACACGAACAGCAAGCGCACTGAGCCCAGAAAGAATGATTGTCTACAAGAGAGCGTCAACGCACTGGCTTGGCTGAGAGGATTTCCGGAAATTGTATTGAAAATTGAAATAGGCCAGCCGTATGATAAATACAGTAGCCTACCCTTTGCTACGACTGGCGCGCCTCCTCACAGCAGTTCACTCTGACCAATATTAATTTTTTCAATATAATGTTTTAGTTTGCGACAGAAAAAACTCTGGTATTTCAAACCCAAAACATTTAAATACGGTACGTCTGACCTGACTACATCGTCAGAAAATGCACTTGGCCAATCGTGAGCATAAGATGAATCGCATATATGGAGGAGCTGACTTTGATAAACGTCTCCGCCAGTTTATTAGTGTGTGCCTTGTGTATCATTACATGTAAACACTTTAATCAACTCTTTAACCACTATGGTTAAAGGTATGCGTTAATTTCTTGGTGCACATAAAGTTTCGAATCTCAAACTCGGCATGTATGCTAAATGAGCTGCAGGAAACTACAGATTGGCGCGTATTTAACATACCGGGATCTCACGCGAAATTGAAGCCTAATGTATTACATGCGTGTAATTATCAGCATTGAGTCAAAACGTGTGTGTTCAGTCGTTTGTAAAGGCCTTGGGAGATTGTGTCGCGGAGAATTTGGTAGGAGCGCCAGAGTTAATACGTTCCTGTCCGTTGTTAGCCAATTCCAATGCGTTATATTACACATCTCTTTGTTTGTCTAGCAATTTCTCGAGTTGTAAAGCCTGAACACGGTGGGAATCTTATTGTGAGTTTGTGAACTAGGTAGAGGAGTCAAACCTGTTTTGTCATCAAAGTCGCCCACAAAAGAAAATAGTCAACGTTGAGCATGTTAACTGACCTTCGTAATTCCACAATCATCCAATAACCCGTCTCGCGCAATTGGTATTAAATTTGCCGCAGACGTTTCCAGATTAAATAAACAAGTCTTTCCTGTGTCGTGATACAACAAATTCTGTATAGAAGAAAATGAACGTGCGACTGAAAATTTGGTTTGAATATACGTTCATTAGACTGGCCATTTGCAATTTATGTACTTTGAACGACGCTATTTTAATATTTGGTTTGGATGTGTGTCCCTTAGATGGGCCGTTTGCAGTTATACGAACAGACCCCGCTCCTGGATTTCTTGCTTTAACAGAGGCAGTGTTTTGGAGGGCCATAGATTTTCCATACAAATTGGAAGAAAGAAAAGCGTGAACAAAAATCTTGTTACCGTTAAAGATGTCCAAAATAAAATATGGCGGCGCCATCACGACCCTATGAGATACGAAATATCCGGCGTAAGGCTTTTCGTCTTCCAACGATTAAACTCTTCGTATAAGACTGGTTATCTGCAGGGGAAATGCGGACTCAGCGTGATCACTTTACGAATATACAACTACCAATAAGCAGTTGCAGAGTTATACTCCTACAGCATAATAACCGCACGGTAAACCACAAACAGTGAGAAGTCGAAGGCTCCCAGTGGCATATCAGGTAAACGGACACCGATTCAAATCAGAGATCTGGTACATCTTATAACGGATAGACGTAAAGCCTTCGTCGAAGACCAGCCAGAACAGGAAGAAAACCTCGTTCAAGATTAATTTTAGAGTGTCTGAGATCATAAGGGTCAGAATATTACCTGATCAAGACATCTAGATGTGGGCAGTCTACCCACTCTAGCAGTTGGAATAGGTGTGTAGTCCAACAGTGATATATTATTTAATTGTATTATATTTGTTTCTTGGTAGAGAGAAAGTGGTGACGCCAGTTTATTAGTGTGTGCCTTGTGTATCATTACATGCAAACACTTTAATCAACTCGCTCATGCGTGTAACCTTTTTTCCGTCGCGCTCTTCAAGCGCGTTGTCCTAATTGTATTCATTCCTTGTTAAGTTGTCTTAAGAGTCTGTTGTTGTTTACGTTTAATATTATTTGTCACAAAGAACTTGTGTGTTGTATTCGGGGTGACGGACTGTGGCAGAATCCAATAATATACGTCCATACTGGCGCTCATAACCCTTTCGTTATTTTTGTTGTTTCTCAACAACAAATACATTTGTATGCAGATATTGTTAAATTTTTGAGGCAAATAAACATACATACATACATGCTGGAATTCGAATGCGCCAGAGAGAAAGGCCTTGGTTGGTGATAAATCTTGCTAATTTGCTATGCGCTTAATTTTTAAGATAGGACGGGGCATGTCGAATCGAATAGTAAATTTTAGAATCGGTCCAGACGAAAATTTCGAATCGCTGCCATCTTTTTGTTGTTTTGTTCAACAAAGATCGAGGTGATTCCGTCATTCTTTTTTCTTGAGGCATATATTTTTACAATACAAACCGACATGCGAGTGATTTATTGAGAAAACAGGTTTCTTATTCTGTGTGAACACACAACCAACTGTCTGGAGGATGGATTGTATGTTTTCAGTAATTCAATTAAAAAGTCGCATTCAATCTTTCAAGTATTCAAGATTCGATTCGAAAAAATACTCGATTCGATTCTGAAACCACTAGGTATTCGAAAATGCCCAGCTCTAATTGCGAACAAAGGTTTATAGAATTATGATAAATCTGCGAGGCAACTAAGAAGAGGATTCGCATATTGGAGCGTCCTTGCAATAGTTTCACATGAGCCTAGTTCAACACATATAAATGGGCCACAATATTGACCAGTATCTGAAACAAATGACATGGACGATGTTTGGCGAGTATAGCAAACATCGAAGGTGTATATTTTTATGATATGCTGTCGCCATACATCGGTTTTGAACTGCGCGTTTATGCGGAAAACCATTACAAGAAGGGAAGAAATTGCTTTGAAATGTTTTTACATGAACTGGAGAAAGTAGCTCCGCTCGGGAGCCTATTTTGTTGTAAAGTTCATTGATATTATTGTTTATTATTAGTAATTTCGTTGGGGTAATGGGGGTTTCGAAAAATTTGCTCTTTACATTTCTTCCACGATGTTGTTCCCGAACAACGTCGCAGAACTCAACGATGACGTCCTCATTTTCTGTGTATATGCTATTGACATCGCAAATACTTCATTTCAATACAAAAATAATTTTTTCGTTTTGTAAGATTGTTGTTGTCACTAGAAGGCTATTATTACTTATTTGAAAAATCCTGTGTGCTATATGGAATTCGTTTATCCCTTTAAATTTCTGTTTGATGACGTCTTCAAAATTAAAAAATTCGCACCGTGCCCGTGACCTCATTTCAGCGTACGCGTCAGACTACCGGTACTGTAAAGTTTCACATTTATTTTATTAGTAGCAAAACGTCTAAACAAAGAAAATACGACAACTACTTATCACAATTTATGCCTTCTGTATAAAAATTGTTGATATTTTCCCATTATATCTGCACTTTTTGTAGTCGTTTTAAAGAAGTGCAAAACAAAAATTTAGTTTTCAAATCATATTCATGAATATTGCGCACAAAAACAAGTAATTGTGAGCATAACTCCACTGCAATTAAATTCATTTAGTCTCCACTTACTTATGTGGACATGGGTTACTACACTTGTTCAATCGAGACGAAAGAAAGGAACGAACTTGATGTACGAGATCACATGAAATAAATCAGTAAGCTATTTGTGTTGCGCACATGGGGAGTGGCAGCTAATTTAAATGTTGTCCGTATAGCTCTATGGCCTATGCTATGTTCTTCCATTGTGCTTACGGTTTGAAAATTGTGGGGGTCCATAGTTACTTCAGAGAAGCATATCCACATAAAGTTTGAGAACCACTGGCCTATAATATATATGGCATCATGGCGTCACCGCTGTGGGCTTAAATCGTTTTGCTGACACCGTTTGTGCTTTATTTATCATTGATATAAATATACCTGGTGCCAATTCATGTGCTATTCACATATTTTATGCCGCGAAAGTATGCGATATTATTTTTTTTTGATGGGTGGGCACGTACTTGTACGTTTTTTAACTTTATTTTTAAGTTATGCCCGCCTCCCAGGTATTTTTGCATTTTGTTTTGTCTGTTTACTTTTTGTGTTGTTTATATCAGAGAACCAAAATAAATTATTGATATTGCAGCGTTGCGTCTTCACCGGAATATGTACCCGCCACTAATAATTAGTTCCGAAGATCTCGTGTGCTGCAAAGCCACACAAATAGATTCGAAGTTCACGATGCTAACGAAGATGCTTTATTGAACAGTGGAAAACAGGGCGATTAAAGCAGATGAAATATCAGAGCGACAAAATACTACGCTTACACGGCGACAGCAAAAGCAAGAAGAAAGACGCTGTGAACCACAACACAGTTCACATATGCTGCGGTGGTTGGAGTCGAGCAATCGGATCTGAATATCGGACTTTATTAGGGCTCAGACTCCACACACCGATACACATGCGATAACTAGACAAGAAATATAGAACAATGAAAATAGGACGACTGCAGCCCCGCTAAAATATCAAAAAAATGCGTCCGAAGAGTCGTAAAATTATTAAATAAATTATTTACTTGCGGCCTTCTAGGCCAGGGTTCTATAACTCTATGCTTTCCACAGGCGGGTTGTCATTCCTCACAATCTGCGTGAACCACCTATACAACGGGAGGAATTCAACAATGGCCCAATGTACGCCAGTGTATCTAATCATTTCAGAACTCATTAGAAAGTTTTGGGTATGTCTAAGCCTAAGTCTGTACGAAGACTACCCTTAATGATGAGATGTGCATGAATTTTGCCATAATATGCTTCTAAGTCCTCCTATATAATAATCCTCCTTTAAAGAAATCAAAAGTTGAAAAGTTCGATTCACTTATGCCTAGCGCGATTAGGCTGGCCCTAATTATATTACAATTTTACGTTTAATATCATTTAAGTGACTGTATGTTTATATACAATTTTTGGAATTAAAATACGACTCTATTTTTTATTCAGATGAATTAAAGCACTTGTCGTAACCATGGCATCATTAGTCAACATACGCACGGTCATGTGTTGATGTAATTCGGACTATTAGACTCAAATAGCTCGAGGGAAAAACGAAAACAATTTTACCATTATTTTAATTTAATAGGAATTCAGGTCATCAGCTGACAGACGTTCGATCGGTTCCGATACCTGTTGCAACGGCCGGATATGCTTTAACTAAATTATTCATATTGGAAAGTGAAGTGGATCAGCTGAACGCCGTTGCATGAGAGTGTATGTTATTATTACTTGGAGTTGCAGGTCGGACAAGGGCAGACGAGATGTTTATTATTCATTCAGTTGAATGCAGTAACGGCGTAAATTGGGAGTCTTGTTGTTTTAAAATATAAATATATATGATTCTACATTAATTTGAAGATTGTAGGACAGATCAGGCGCACTGTTTAAAATATTAAACCACGTTGACTCCATTGGCTTTTTGTCTTCTTCTGAATTTTGCATACATATTTGAGTTCGGCGTTCAAAGATTTTGTTACGCTCAACTGAAACAGAAGCGCCTTAGAAATAATCAATTTGTCAATATTTGAAACAATCAAGCTGTCAACGTTTATTTAAGGCAATCGCTATCTATATATTTTGAATTTACTATAATTTTATTATTCGAAGCTGCTAGCTTTTACTATTTGAAATAGACGACACTGGTATTATATAGTCTGATAGGATATATTGAATTTCAGTCTAAAAGATATTACTATGATCGAGTGTAAATTAGGTCCAACCGTCCGTTGTTTCTCAATCTGGCGTAGGGAAACAAGATTATAGTTGGTTGCGAACTTATATTGACTTAAACTTAAAATTATTTTTATCTGAGTGGTTAATAGTAGATGGCAAATGTATTCAAACGAACTTAAAAACAATTTGATAATGTTTGAAAACAAGTCGCAGTTATTTTTCGAATGAAAGAGGCACATCTGGTCGAAGCTTCACGGGCGTTGGACTTAAAATCGTATAATTGACCCACGCTTTCACACAATACTCCTTGTTTACTTTTCATAAAAATAACAATGAAGATTTACAGTTGGATAAATAGAAAGCCTAAATTCCTTGTGGTATTAAAAGTCAAAACATTGATAATCCAGAATAATCCTCTAAGATTTCTCGGAAATAATTTCAATAAATTTAAAAGGCGATTTAGACAAACTGGCTCTGTGCCAGATATGAAATAGATGTTATTCATTGATTCATTGCTGATCGTAACCGATATTTAAAGTTATAATATTGAATATCTTAGTGCGTCAGTAACTTCCACACGATTCGTTATTCCAGGTCAAACTAAACATTTCTAATTTTCAAGGCAGAATTGAGCATAAAAACGTGCGAAAAAGTTGTCGGTTGTCACTTGCTGATTAGATGGCTTAGCATAGTTCTGAGAGATTTTGAATACGAGAGCTCAACAGTGCCCCGATTTTATTTGGAATTAAATGATAAGAACTGCATTTATTTGCGTATATCGAAAAAGGGTTTTCGTCATACGTGAGAACGGTTTTGAGCCAAGTTCCGTTTCAGCACGGTTCGATTTCATACTTTAACTCCAATATTTTTAAAACCTCTCATATTTATTCCAACCTAGAATATATTATTTATCTTAGTTACTAATTTACTTCGCGCTTCAAATCGATTGGTTGCGCAATCGGTTGGTGTTTTCACTCAAAAGTAAATAGAAGCTAGACTGATAACGGGTAAGGCTGGGAATTTCAGGAAAATTTTTTAATCGTTTACCGGGTAAAATTAACCGGTTAACCGCTGCGTGGCGTTTGACGTAATAAGTTACAATTTTAGACTGTTACGTCACGATGGTTACAAACCAATTTCGCGTGATATTATCCCGGTATCGCCCGAACATGATCGCTCTGCTGCAAGAGATATGTAGCGTGCTTCGGACATATGGAAGTATTTTGGTAAAACCCTATTCCGTTATCAAATGTCATTTATGTGACGAATTGTGTTCGATAAATAAGTGTTCGATGTGCAAATTCTACTTTGAGACATCATAAAAAACAGCATGAACTGCGTACTTGTTGGATGGCATTGAATATAATATATACGCTTTTGCAATAAAAACGTGAACAATATATTCTGACCGAAATCTGATTCTGAATTTATCATTGTGAAATTTTCATAGTCAGTGATATTGGTACTTAATAATTTTTTACATTTTTTGGTGCTCACCAATATAATCATTGATATTCTTTTGAATTAAACGCCACGGAAGATAAATTTGCGATAAATTCATCATTTTTGAAGAAATTGCACATCATAAAGATGATTTGTACTTGAGATGTCAGTTAACGGTTAAAATAAATCGTAACCGTTAACCATCTAAAATCGGTTAGCCGATTAACCGGTTTCTAGCTCTAATAACGGGACAAAAAGGGTCTTGGTACATCAATATTATTATGCCGTCTTATCGGCTTTCCTTTCCGTCAGGATAAATATGAAAATCCTATCCCAACTTTGACAAAAGTGGTGATGAGTTGAATGAAGGCCATAAACCGAGACGAGATCATTGATCAATCAACCAACGGTCAAAAATATTTCATGTCATATTATTTGAAAATTAACATCTCACGGATTGCCTCTCGAATTCCTGAACAAAATAACTGCGAATGTTTAATCAGACAATTTACGAGTTTTTGTCAATTTTTCACTTAATTTTAAATCAAATGAAATTTCATTGTGCGTTTATTTTAATGAAAAATGGATAAAAAGCTATAAAATTTATGTAGCTTTTTGGACGAACCCGTAGGCTGTGTCGACAACAGTACGATTTAAATGGTGTCACTATTGAGTGTCGACTACGACGAGTATTACGTATCGTCGTATAAAATCTATCCCGCCCTGAATGAAAACAAAAATAATAGTCATTCGTTCGGGCGTGACCAATTACATTGCGTTCAATACAGAATTGTCATGAAGCGCAATTTGAACAAGAAATCGCCGTAAATATAGGGTGTAATAGACATTCTATTGACTATTTTACGTATGATACTTATTCTTACAAAGGCAAATGTAGACGGAGAAAGAAATCTTCAGTTTTTTCAATTCAGGTATTAGTGAATCAATCATAGGCCCATAGGAGGTATTTCTCGCTTAGTCAATCATGCTAAATAATGTTTAATACACGCAGCAGGCGAATATTGATTTTCGATATCGAGACGTTAGTATAGCTGTTCCGTAAAGGCATCGAATAGCAATTTGTAATTGAAATATTCATTTTGGATAAAAAGTAAGCTTGAAGTTGGAGAGGCAGTTTGTATAATATGATATCATAATTTCGTCGCGGGGGAGGTTATCTCATTATATTTGATATCTCAGAATCCAACATGATGTGGTTAAAATCTGGTATATCTGGTAGAACAGTATTTGTCAGAAACAACTGCAGTTTGGCATAATCATTTGGTAAATGCCATAAATGATGGGCAATCTTTTTAAATATATATGAAAATGTTTGTTTGAAATTCCTGTGGTGTACACGTAGCGATCAGCGTGATTGAAGATTTGGTAAAAGTAACTGCTGAACGTTTAGTTCCATGAATGCAACATTTAACCTTGAACATGTCTTATTCTCATCCATGTTGACTCTGATTTGCGATACTTCATACTGTATATTGTTGTTCAATAATGGGCATAACAACTCCAGCAAGGTTGCCAGGTTTACAAATCGTAATTCATCAAACTATGTTTATGAAATATCTCGTTGTCATGCCCGCAATGAATGATTCGAATCTTGTACAAGCATCGGTCTAGTTAGTACAAATACTTATCTAAAGTACTTATACGTGATCACTGAAGCAACAATATACGGAATAACATAATAGAAGCGTTGTAGGGCTATCGGGAAATGTAAACTTTCCAATTTAAAGCAAAATCTGGTAGCAATTCCAAGTGTGGGGTTTGGATTTTGGGACTTAAAAGTGCGGCATTTCGCGTATGAATCGTACCTGTTTGATTGTCGTAAACGTAAAATTAATGAAGGTCTCATCCTTCGTGTTTAACGCCGGGTTAATGTTTAACGAGAGTGTCGTTCGGGTATGTTATAAATTCACACTCACTGGTTTACATGTGCAATATTCAGTCTACGGATTATGTGGTTTCAATGAGTGAAGCGTATGTATTTCCCGGGTTCGTAAATAATGTTGGTTAATTAAAGATTTGAATTTTAGTGTAGGTTTTTGAAATTATGGAATTGGTTACTTTAGATCTGTCGCAGTTTCCAATGTCGCTATTGAATATACAGATAAAAATCGACTGCTACAAGGAAGTGTTATTAGCATAAAGGTGTTCTATGTAAAGGCGACAGTCGAACTCAAGTTTCTTTTGCGGTGCGACTAGCTGTGTGTGTTGCAGCATTGTTATGGGTTATGAATTTCGACTCAAGACAGGTGCTTAGGATTACAATCATGGTAGTAGTAACTTGGGTAGGATATACCGATTCTCCAAAAACTTAGATTTCTTCATGAGTGGTTACTTGCCGAGACCCTTGTTCCCAGCGAATATGTTGAACGTCCCGTAAAATCGTTTATTTATTATTTTAATCTTTTATCATATAATTTAATGTGTGATTTTAGGCTCAGGGCAACTGCACGTCTTTCGCAAATTATATTAATAAATGCTAAAACTATAGTGAACGGGTAATGCCATGGCCGCGGGCACTAATATATGAATGGCTTTAATGGTTATTGCTCGACTATAGTATTTTATACTGAAAAATGAAAGCTGTCTTTCTATTTTAACAGCTTTTATCAGGCTTAAGTAATAAAAGTTAAATCATAATAAAGTCTTTGTACAAGGATCCAACATGGTTATCCGAATTTACTGGGCAAGCGTGACTGGAAATAGAAAGGTAAAACGAGTCTCCAATTTTTTTTTCGCTCTTCTGTAAATTTTGCTATAGCTAATCATATACGTTGTGTATTTTTGGTTCCATTGAGTAGTCGATTTTTGAAGGAAATGTTTTGTTGTTTTTTGTTGGCCACATTGACATATTTACTCCCAAGTTGTTGTCATAGTGAGGTAAACCTTCCGGCTGCGCTTACGTTGCCAAATTACTTCCAATTGCAATGGTTCGTTATGGCAATACGTCAACTATATGGCGGAGTAATTAAATCATAACAGGTCGCTATAACAACCGATTAGAATGTTTCAAACACGGAACCTCGATAATTTATTTAATAAGGGTTCGAATCATTTATGGCCCACGAATGTTAATTTCCTCACAATTCACAACTACGAATCGCCCGTAGCCGAGTCAAGTAGATCGACGTACTGTTGAAATACTGTTCAAGTGTTTCTCAAGCACCAAATCATTGTAAAATCGTTTCAAATCACCGGGTCGCCACCAACCAATCGTCATCGCTTAGGGCGGAACTGAAAGTTTTGAACAAGATGTTATTGTCGGATCACTGTAGGGCGTACAAATCGGAAGCAATTCCTTTTAAAATCAAGTTTTTTGAACGTACGGAGACGAAAATACAAGTAAAATCTTTTCACATGTTGTAAAATAATCATGTATTCACATTCACAGACGTAATGTTTGTTGAATGATTTGATTGTACTGTACAAAATTTGCCATGCAAGTTTAAACTATAAATAAGTCAAATACACAATTGTGATGCCGTTGAACAAAAAATAGATAGATGGCTGAACGAACAACTCTTCTACAATTCCGCAGGCAAAGTTCGTTTCGCTGAGGGTAATATGAACATTACAATTCAATCTATACAATGTTAATGTTAAACTCTTTGATTGAAATATTTGATTCGACAGTTAGGAAAAGTCAACATCCATTTTCGATTAAAAAAACTAATAACTTTACTGAGCGAAACGGACATCCTAATTTTGTACGCAGGAAATAAGGTTATATATGATTTACGACTCATTACGAGTGAACTAAAATAACTCAAATGTGCATACAGAAACTAGCGCGGGAAAAAATTACCGCAACAAATCTCATAACTCGTAATTTTCTAAACTATTAAATATTATACGGGCATTGTCATTCGCCAATTTGGAAAGAATACCATCATTTGTATCTTCTTGTTATTATGATTCTATAGCATGTGGAATATTTAATATATTCAACGCATTAAATTACATATTGCAAAAATTTATAATATGCATTCAAAAGCTTTATATTATCCCATATGAAAAGTCTTCTCTGATAATTCATATCGGTAAGTATTCAGTTTGACCGGTGGTGTATAAGTGTGATATGCCAATAACGAAATCGAATTCTTCCTAATAATTCTTCCTTCCCTTCCTAATTCTTTCAATCTGAATTTAGAACTCCCTTTTTCAGATAAACAGCGATCAGTCAAGACTCAAAAATGTGCTCGAATGTTTTAAGTTAGAATCAACGTGGATTGATGTGACGACAAGCAGATCTGTCATGAATCAAATGAGAATGGAATGCGGCAAAGCTAACGCTCTTCCACCACAGATATTCAACGATGATGTTTACCTTGGAGTAAGTACATTATAACTTACAATTCTACTTTCTACATATAAGGAGATTTACTACGGTTGTTCCATGAGAATTATGTTGAATGAAATGTACGGAGTATACAGTGTGCACAATGTGCCCATTACAAAAAGACAGGGAGCCAACAAGCATCGAGCATTTCTGCGAAAACTCCGGCGGCACCAGTCTATATTGTCCTTCATTCAAATTTATTTGGCTCCTAGTTGGTTATTTACAGAACATGTACGCATCTATTCTAAACGTTTATTGAGTAAGAGTCTCTAAACCCCGATTCACGAGTAAAATCGAGTCATAGCAGGTCACCTGATTGTCGAGTCGGAACTTAGGGTTGCTATGTCGGCATGGGGCTCTTGCGCCAACGTCATTTGAGTGTCTTCGACGTGGTTGCTATCTTTTTTGAACAAATATTCAGCTTTATTTAATGGTGTCTTGATCGGATTCTTCAGTACAGAAAAATCTTTGAAGGATATTTGTCGTAAGTCAGCAATTTTTTGACGACGCAACTTGAATTTGCACAGTAAAGCCGTTTTAGAATAACACTATACGTCACGTATTAATTAAATCCAAAACTGTTTTAAACTGCGATTACCGTCGGACTCAATTCCGAATGTTGATCAACATTATTCTCTTATTATATTTGGACTCGTTGGTGCTTCATTATCGAATAGTACAGTGCATCGCAACCTTTTTCAGTTGGTGACCCACTTCTATTGCCAGTTTTTGCGGCCCACAATGGGTTGTGAAACAATGTATCCACACGAAATTTACTATTAATGCGAAACTTGAACTTGCATATTGGATATTATCAGATCAATTCGTGACTGTTACAAAGCTCACACACAACGCAGCATTGACACTCAACACATTGTGCCTTTGGCTCAAGTCATTTTCTGCCTCAATGAAAGCACATTTGATGTATTCATCTTTAAAAAAAAAACTATCCATTTTGTGGCTCAAAAGAATCAAACAAAGTTAGGATGTTAAAATAAAGTATAATAACCCTACTATGCCAGTATTCAAAATTCAACTCATTAGACATAAGATTATCAATTACATAAACCGCCGTCTTTGCTTTTGTCTACTCTACAGTCTGTACACGATTTGAAAAAATTCTGCCAATCTGCCTGGTAGCCTACAGTTTCCAGCATGTAGATGCGTACTGAAATTATTGTTACATTGTTTTATGATTGTTTTGTGATTGTTGATAATGCCATAATTTTCCGCTCTGAAAACTGTATGTAAGAATATTTTTATTGGGTATTTCACACCGCCATTTTTATAAACTCCATTTAAGTAGCCTAACCAAACTTCGAGAGGTTCACATCGTTTAGTACTTTCTGATTTTTACATCATTTTCGCTACTTTCAGGATGTTGACGATTTTAACGAAAGAATAGAAGATGGATCGTGGAAAGCATGGATAGCCGGTAATGCCGACAGTACTGATATCAACCTAGATGCACCAGAAGAAAATATTTCATGCAACCAGAACAATTCCAACAACGAATATTCAACAAACCAGGTCGCAGATGAATCCGTCCCGAAGTATACTCCGTCAGAGGAAATCAAAATTACCTCCAGTACGTCTGTTTCGTCCGCAGTTTCTAATTTTGAAAATATTAACAAAAGTCCTAAAGTATCAAGAAAAGTAGTGCAAATTCAATTTGCAAGTAACAGCGAAGAGCAGAATACGGAAAAGTCTAAGATGGACGATGAGAGACGTCGAAGAATTCTAGGCCTTGCACCCGCAGAAGAAAATGGCGAAGTGAAATGCTTGCAGGACAAAACGAATGAGACAACTCATGAAACAAATGGAGTGAAAGATATCGAATCGGCAAAAATTAAATCAATTTATGAAGCAGAGAAGGAGACTTCCTGAGCTACTCAGCAGTTGATGTATATCTCTATGTTACTCGATAATTATATTTGGGTTTTGATGTCACTAAATGTGCATTTATATTTGGCGTGAACGAGTAAAAAACGATGTCCCAGTTATGGCTCATTTTTATATTTTGTATTTTGCTTTTATTTTTTCAAGTAAACATTTATGGTTTCATCCTTTTTTGGTCACTCCGTATAAAACTAGTTTCAAAATTTTAGAATAAAGAAAGCTGATCATAATTATAAAACATATATATATATATAAAACTATCCTATTATTAAACACCTCACGAAGAATAGGAATAGGAAATTTATTTTAAATCATTGCTGCTATATTTTTTCATTTGTTACAAGCTTGTATTAATCATGTTATTATTAATTGATTCAGTTGAAAAATTAATTTTGTAATTGATTCCATGTTTGCTTTATCGTGCTATTTTGGAACGTCCAAGAAAATTTTGTTTTCACATTTGTATAACGCATTAAGCATGAAGGTACGATTTTCATTATGTACTTATATGTGCAGCATATTTTAGCAAATTAACTGATTGTAGTACTATTGACTTTGCTATACTTATTTTTACTCAAACTTTAGACATAGGTATGAATTTAAAGAAATTTTCATCAAACATAAAAAGAATCAGCGAGTAAAACTTGAGGAAATTGGTATCACTATCTATAAAATTTAATAAAATTATCAATCCTGAAGATAGCAATTCATGTACCTAAATAGCAATCACAAGAATGTTCCATATTACTTTCTATGCTTACTTTCTATGAATGTTCGAGGGTGTCAGCTTTTTCAGCAAGTAAAATTTGAGGAAATTGGAATCACTATCTACAATATTTAATAAAATCTTAATAATTAATAATCTTTAGGTCAGTGATTCAAGTATCAAAATATTAATCAAAAGAATGTTCCATATTACTTTCTATTCTTACCTTCAATAAATTTATTGTGAATTTTTCGAGATTTTTCACTGCCGCCCTCATCCCTACAAATCCCAACTTTCTATTTCTGCACATAAATGCTAAAATTGTGTTTTGCAAAATCACAATTTTCATTCCGACAGAATCATTTAGCAAGTAATATCAATGAAAAGAATATGACAGATAAAAACTGTTGATCTTATATGCAATGTGTCATTGTTTTCTATGTTACTATATCAATGTTTAAAGCTTTATTTTGCTTCACCAATCCTATTTTTACATTTGTGGGGTTTTCACAAATTTATGCTCATGTTTTCCAATATCAATCAAGCAGATTTAATCGAAATAAAAATAAATGTTATTATGAATTTGTGATCGGCTGTTGTACAATTCTTGATATTTTGTACTCATAACGAAATTGTGTACAAATTGATTCATATTGCCCATGCAGATTCATGTCATGGAATAATTCTCTTTCTAGTGAAATAACTCTAATTTTGCCTTTATAGCGAGATCAACCAAATTCTATAATTCAGTTTTTCTGTGTTAAAAGTACGATCAAAATTGTGGCAACCATTAATCTTTTAATGAAATTTCGTTTTTGGCACAGTTTCATTTCAATTCAAATACGACTGTTGCATATTATAATAATTGATGTTTATCTGATGACGTGATTCGACAGTTTCTTTTTTATATTTTTAATATTTGAATCGATGTGGAATCCGAGATAATCGGATTATTTTAATTGCAAACACTAGCCTGGGTTAAAATAAACGGTTTAAAAAAATCAATCGTTATAGTCGTGTATATTGTTGGGTTTAGTTAGATAGGACGCGGATGTTGGGCTAGAGCTGATCCATTTCATATATATGTTTATGAGTGAATAATATAATGTACCATGGAAATTTTATTAAGTTTTTTTCAACTCGATAGAAAAAGTGTGATTTATCAGCAATTTAAAACGTGTACGATCTGTCCCTTTCATGACAAAAATTCTCTCTCAGTTTGTTTCCTTGACGCGTTGATATGAGTGCAGTTCAAGTTTGACTGAAAGCCATATATATGCATTTTATCCGAGGGTGTTGATCCCTCATAAATGAAATAAGTGTGATTAGTCACATATAAAACACTTTCAGCAGCGAGAACAATTGTATAACATAGTTTATTATTACACAATATGAAATTATTATAATTACAAAACATAAAGTTACTTTGTATTATGTACTTTGTTACTTTGTATGATGTATTATAATCTATTCGTTTCTCAGCGTCGTATATAAGTACGTCAATTTTAGGCTAATTAGTGATAAACAGACAAAGATCGAAATCAAATTATCGCTGAAAGGTATTTACTGTACAAATTGCAGCTGCAAGGCGGTTTGCATGACGCGCGTAAAAACACAAAACACAGTATTTATCATTCTTGCTTAATTACAGTTTAATGTGGACAGTGCTACCTTTCGTTGTCCTTTGCAGCCTGCAATGTTTAACTTCCAATTGAACCGGCCGTTGATTTATAATCACGCACTATATTATGTACATGGCAAATCAGTAAATCAGAGTTTACGCTTATTTAATCAAAATAGATTTTGCGTGACGCTAAATTGAAGGATTTGCCCAGTCACACCAACGGAAATTTAATTGCCACTATATATAGTTGCAATTCACGGAAGCTTGAATATTTCTTGTGAACATTTCCCCCAAAAGCAGCTTCGGGGATAAATGAAAATCATCCATATTTATTATCACTTTTTACATGCGAGAAAACAATGACATATATTACAATTCGATTTGGCTACTACCCGGATACTTGAACAACTCGGACAACACAGTCATTCGAAATCAGACTCAACGAATGGATTTAAAAAGAAACTCATATGGCCAAGCAATAACAGTACACTGGCTTGTTGCATCAATACTAAAAGTCAAACTTACAAGCAATTCCCCGTCGAATAAATTTTGAAAACAATATGCGCATATCTAGATTGTATGCACTCTAGACTGAAATATTTTGATTGTGTTCAACAACAATTTGCCTATAACCTTCGTGTTTTCATTGTGACCTTAGTTGGTGAAATTTTCGTCTATTCATGCAAAACCGGTGGCAATTTCCGTAGAAGTGCAGAACAGTTCGCTGGTTGATTGCCCACAAATTTGCATCTGTATCTAAACACGTGCTTGGCGGCTTTATATTCAGAAGCTAAATATATTAAACATATGGTGAAAATCCTTCCATCAACTCTCATGCCTGTCGTAGGCGTTAAATTACATCAAACAGGAAAAGATTAGTCTATTGTCTATAACGGAAGGACCGATATAAGACGAACATGTGACTCGTGGAAGTGCATGCCGCTGATATCAGTAGACAATATATTCAGAGAATAAGCAGTGATTATGAGCGATTGATTTGTGATTTGGTGCACTTAACCGATATTCGTTGACGATGTTATTTTGTTGTAGACTAAACAAATTATAGTTGATATCCACTTACCTAAACAATTGAAGGAAAAAAGTTAGAAGTTAAGAAGTAACCTGGCTAGTAATTATCAGAGATAGAATGATTAGAGCAGACCTGCCCAACCTTTTTCATCTCGCGGGCCAATTTCACATGACGAAATTCGTTGCGACCCGCAAACATTTGTACCAAACTTTAATACCAGCCCAGTCATGATTTCGTTAGAATTTACATGATATATAATAGGTATAATAATATATAATCAAGTTAATAATTATTCACTGGTTACTGATTAGTGCTGGCGAAATATCCGAATATGAAGTCTAATATTAGAATACCAGTTTACTATTCGAATATCTGGTAACACAGGGCGTGGACATGACACTCGCGGGTCGCTGCTTTGATTAAAAAATTGATCATTACACAACGCACTTGTGGATTTCTGACGACCACACGAGAATCTGAACAGAGTTTTCACTAACAAACAAAAATGTATTTTCAGTGGCTATGACATTGTCTCAATGAGCGTAATGTGCACCAATGTCGCGGAAACATCAAGTTTTAGTGGGCCGTTTCGTAAAATTTGAATCATCAAGTATTTAGTAAAAAAACATTACAATAAATTCTGGGCGAATATCTATACTAATTTGAATATGTAGAATTACTATTAAGTCTATTTTATCAGAATTATTGACAGATACGCAGTGACGATATTCCCGACATTTTATTTAACGCGAACATAACATAAACAAAAATAAGAACATAAAAATCGCGTCCCGGAGTCAGCAGTAAAGATATTGTTCACTATTTATTTTACTTCGGCGAAAAACACGATCAAAGCCTACCCGAAAGAAAGCTTTCAGAATGAAACTAGTTTGGAAATTTAGGTTCCAAATTTCTTCCTATAATTGCGCTCAGCGTTCGTCGCTAATGATTGCACAATATCTTTGTAGTTCGTCGAACATAACGCACAGTTCTGCGAAAAATAAAAAAAACTTAACGTCGATGTCCATCAGGGAGATGCATACGTACAAATAAGAATCGGCATCCGGATGTAGATAGAGATGGCGGGAATAATCACACCAAATTCACGGAACATATTTAAGCCTATATAAAGCATAGTGAAAATTTGAAAAGTCTGCTTGCAAAATTTATTGGGGGGGCCGCATGCGGCCCGCGGGTTGGGCACCCTTGGATTAGAGGCTTCATTGTCACGAAGTCCATTCATGAGCTATGTAGAAATCAGAAATATATTACTAGCTAGCAAGCGTAACTAGCAAGTAGCTTTTTAGAACGAATGGTAAATCGTTATATATAGTAAGATGTTATCTCGAGTTGAAAAATTAAGTATTACGTTTTTGTTATCTTGTACCTATTCAAAATGTTTTTATTCTACTAGAAAAATAATAAATATGAATAAAATTCGTTTGGTATTACGAGTCTTGATCCTGGTTTTTGCGTCAAACTTGTATATCGTCACAGGAGAAAATAATGAAGAAGCGAGTGTTCCAGAAAAGCTTATCCCGACCATTCGACTCAAATCTGGATACGAGAGTGAGTATTATAATGTTATAATGAACTTGGAATGAAAAACCGGGATATTGTGTTTATTATAGTGATTACACTGGGCGAGATCCGCTCAATACGCTCGTAAGTGTATCTCGCGAAAGCATGGGATAATTATGCATCGCATTATGCTAGTAATTAGCACTATCTTAAGAAATTGGCGATCAGTAGCGAAATCGGACAAAAAAAGTAAAGGTTTTCATTCTTGTTCTACGTTGGATCACATGGAATTCTCTTCAGACTATATAACTACTGTATATAAGCGGATGCACTTAAAGAGCCTAGCTTAAAGCAGATGTGTATTATCACATACAAAACGTGGTGCTCCCGAAGTATGTGAACCAAGATGGCGGAGAACGGAACGTAGTACGTGTATTAAGTTAGGCCATAATTTCAGGTACAAATACTACGGGAGTCACTCGGCAAGTTTCCGAACTCGTAATAGAACTAAAATAAAGAAAATTGGAATAAAATTATGGCCTAACCCTAACCTGGCACACATACTACGTTTCAGTGTGCGCCTTCTTAGTTTACAAACTTCGGGACTACCCAAAACGTTCGTTTTCATTTTAATATACAATGGAATTTTACCTCTACTATTTTAACCTTTTTTACAAAAGTGCCAGTATTAGGTTTCGGAACTGGGAAGTTGGGACATCGTACAACAAATGCAACAAGACAGGCGATTAACATGGGATACAGGTGATTACACATTACATGCAAAGTTTCATCTCAAAGATATGATTTGTAATCTGATCTCAAAAAAAAATTTCATTCAATCCAGGTTGATCGACACTGCCAAATCATATATTGCAATTCCTTCCGTGCCCTCAGAAATGGTTATAGGAAAGCTTATAGAAGATAGTGGAATACCAAGAGAAGAATTTTTTATCGTCACAAAAATTTTGCCAGAGTAAGTAATACATTGTTATCTTATCAAGCAGGCCAGTGTGACGATTTTTTCAGACTAAGCCGTATATTTAATAATGACATTTCACTTCATGTAAAGATAAATCAACGCAGATTTGATAATAAAATCCCATAGTGAGCCGTGAAATTATGTGTGGTTGAGAAAATATCCAAAATTACGATGACGTCATAAGCGTAAGATATTACCAACGGACTTGAGAGAATCGAATTACGAATATCGTTAAGTATTAAGTATATCACAACTAACTTCAGATATTTCACGGAAGAAGAGTGCAGAAAAGCAATACAAGAATCTTTGAAGTTTTTGAGAACGTCGTATATTGATCTTGTTTTAATTCATACTCCTGAATATTTTGACGAAAACGGAATATCAGATACAGAAGGTGGGATTCGGTTTCCGCATGACACATAATAAAAACGGTTGAAGGAAGGCAATTTTATCTTACAATTTTTGCTCCGAAGCATGTATTGAACAAAAGTTGCCGAATTTTAAATTGTCCGAAACCTACCATTTCATGCATAACTCACAGTCACTCCCCTACACCCCTATACAGCGGGTAAACACCCCTTTAAAATTTCAAACACTCCTCAATTATGAGGCGTGAAACCACACTTTAATTTCTTATTTAATATAATTAATATATTCGTTCCAGTTCAGTTCCATTTAATTTCACTTGCAAAATGTTATAAAGTTTGAACGTTCCTAAATTTTGATAGAGCACGGTTAAGACAGTATACTTAAAATGGTTGGTGTAGTTAAAAATTACTTGCTGAGAAATTCATTTCCAGAAATTCTACTTTATGAATATTTAACTGTAAATGTAACAACCGCATTATTGGCAATTTAGTCCCATTACGTTGCAGGAACTTACATTGACGGTTGGAAAAGTTTGGAAATGTTGGTCGATGAAGGACTTATCCGAAGTATCGGAATCAGTAATTTTTTTAAAGAAGAAATTATCAAGATCCAAGAAATAGCAAAACATCCTATATCAGTTTTGCAAAACTGGTTCGACCCTTACTTTCAAGATAGAATGCTTAGAATGGAATGTCAATACATGGAAATTGTTTACATAGGATATTCAACACTAGGTGGGGCATTGAGCTATATTATTCGTTAACAAGTAAAAAAGTAGGCGTATACTGCAAGATCATCGCATGTTAGCGCCAGTAGTAATATATTTTTTGACCATGATCTTTCAATAAAGAATTATTTCAATAACTCGCTTTAAAAATCTATGCCTTAATTTTCCCCCATTAAGACTTCCGTGCTTTTCTATCGTGCGTCGCGATAAATATCGTCGAAAATTATTCACTCATTTGGTTATCTACCTGTAAAATAGCTACTAACAGTCACTCGCATTATGAAACTAAAATATACGCTCCGCGTAACTTCTATGTTGCATAACAAAACGAGACGTATATAGGCAATGACACTTTGCGCCAATCTCGTTTTAGTCAAATATCCGATTTGGGGCTCTAATTCTGATTATTCATAAAGGTGGAGTATGGCTCGAAGATGGAATTAAACCGAATCCAATATTAAATGACGAGGTCATCACGAAAATTGCTGCCGAGCATAACCGATCACCAGCTGAAGTAGTTCTCAAGTGGGCTATGAACCAGGAAGTTGTAGTGATACCAGGAAGCACCAAAGAAGAACACCTGTCCAACAACCTTAACAGGTTTACCCTTACTTCGTTCTATAATTATTCATTGGTGACGTTATTCAAAATATATGTAGGCTACTCTATGGTATATGCATCATAATTCAGTGTACTGCAGAATATGAAAATATCCCATGACCTTAGGCTTAAATCCTGCCGTTTTGTGATATATGATTTCATGTCACAATTTTTATACGCATATCCTTGGTGTGGATACAAATTTTTTGGTACTCCCGAAGTATGTGAACTAAGATGGCGGACATCGGGACGTAGTATGTGTACCAGGTTAGGGTTAGGCCATAATTTTACTCTGATTTTTTCATTATTTTAGTTCTATTACAAGTTCGGGGACTAGTCAAGTGACTCCCGTAGTATTTGAACCTGAAATTATGGCCTAACCCTAACCTGGTACACATACTACGGGAGTACAAATTTTTCAGCAAATATTATCACATGCCCAAATAATAAACATGCTTTACCTTGAATTAATTTGGGTAACGTAAGGACATAAACTTGGAATTGAAAGTTAATTTCACTTGTTAATTAAATTTATTTGATTATCTTCGATTATCTTTTTAGCCTCAATCTTGAGTTATCGGAAGAAGAAACTGTTCAAATTGTTTCCCTCGATGGAAAACTGGAACCTCAATATGAAGACGATGTGGACTATACACCTAAATCTCGAGACCCTATTGACTTTGTTCGCGAGAAAATTACATACTTGCTTTCATTTGTATGGCCTAAAGTTAATACTGATGTAAAAAGTGAATTATAACACCGGGTATATATATTAAAAATACCACGATTTCACGAGAGCAAACAAGCAATTTTGTACCTGTTTAAAATCGTGTTCACCAACTGACATTGTTAAAAGGAGGTGTTTTGGATACTATTTTGACTATGATTCAATCACTGTGGCAAATTCATGGAATTCCCACTTCTGTAGCTGATGACACAAAATAACAATAGTTTCATCATATCATCGTCATTCATGGGAGTGAAAGAGTATTTTATATATCCAATTGAAATTGCACGGAGTTAAACATTTCAAAAGATTTTTGACTAGTAGATGGTAGTTTGACTAGTTCTAGTTGACAGCGCAACAATATTTTAATGAGATTTAGACGAACAGATTCTGTTGAAGTATATTTAACATTAGGTTATTCTACGATGAGCTAGGTTTGTAAACCTATTTCTTACTTTTTTCTTTTCTTTCTTACTTAGTTTCACTAATTTATTTCTAGTGTACTCGAGACAGTGTGTAAGGAAGCAGCCAAGCTAATATAAACAGTTAATTTACTCTCCTTATAAATAACAAAAATGCCAACAATAAATAACAGCATCATTTAGCTTAAAATTTGTTAAACAATAATAAAAACGGAACATCAAAAAAATGTGTTTTATGGTAATATATCAAAAGTTTTAGTGCCAATTTGTAGAATCATGTCATTCGACTCAACTTCACGCATTTTACAACTTGTGAAATCTGGCAACATTTAGCGTGTTAGAAGCAATATGAGTACAGTTGCCATGGCTACGGTCTTTACTCATAATTTGTGATGCAATATTCTGTTGCCGAAGTAACGTAAGCTGTCTTAGGGAGAATGAAGGTTAATTACATTTCGTAAATTATCTGGTGACTCGTATGCTTTCATCGGATTTTCTTTGGACTCCCGGTATACAGAACAGAAATGCACGAAGAAATCCAGTTCTGAAACGGCTATTCATGAAGCAGTAGACAAGAGGGTTAACACAAGTAGAAACGTAGGACATGAGCTGTAAGAAGGTAGTCAAGAATTACTACTTACAACCATGAAACACAATGTAACATTTTACCTCATGGGATATATTTAATATTTTACTCGGCGACTAAGTTCACTATACAAATTGTACAGATTCCCGGCAGTCTGTGAAAGCATTGACCATATTTACAAAGTCAGGTAGATACTTCAACTCTCTGCAAGTACAATAAAACTGCTCACTGTCAGATGCAGTATTTTCGAAATGACAGAAATCAAATTAGAATACAATTGTTAGTGCCCATCAGTTTTTTACGTCAGCATTCTAACACCATGAAGTGAACTTATCGATTGAGTAAGTTAGAAATTTCCAGGTAGGTTTCCAATCCTTTGGGATTCGCGCCAATTAACTCGATTTTCTGCGTCTAAATTGCGTTAGTTCCAAATGCTTACGCAATCAAAACTAATCAAACGAGAAAGGAAAGAGAAAAAATGTTATTTCACGCGGTTTGTTTTGTACGGCATTTTCCCAAGACTTGATGGAAACAATTGTAAATATTGATGTCTTCGATACTTCTTCTCTGACAAGTACCTAAGAGTGCGCTAGTTTATTAAACAAAACGTGCTATTTACGAATGTGATTTTAGTTGAACAATGAACAATGTTGATTTTAGACCGAACAACTTCTAGTTCATAAAATACGACAGAATCAGAAAAAAAGTTTGCACAACTAAACAGGTAATGATACACTTCCTGACATTTTACGTCCCTTCTTTTGAAATAAAATCTAAGATAAGATAGACTCACACTTCTCATATTGAAAAACAAATAATGATAGATACCAATTAAATCTCAAGATTCCTTTAAAATATTATAATGAAAATTTACCTGTATAATTTCTATTATACCGTCCAATTTCTCCATGGCGGTGTATGGATCAAATGCTTTCCAAACATTCACAATGAACAGAGGTGTCCAACAAAGAAAGAAAAGAATCTATAAAGAAACAAAACACGGGTTAATTTCGGGTCAAATCATATAAAATTAGGGAAATGTTATTCATATCGCAATACTTTAATTTGAATTGACGGAAAAGGTTTTATCATGATTTTTCTAAACTTTAAATAAGGTTTGAAATTAACATAAAAATACCAAAGAGAATGACATGAGGCATGCGTTCAAAGTTTTCGCAAAAAACAACAACAACTTCTATTTTCATTAATTTTACAAATACAAATCTAAGTAGCGATTCAATACAGGCTACGTGTGTTTAATCCTACACCTCTAGCTTGGAAAATTACTTTCTGGGTCGATAAAACACAAATAATTTTTTATTCACAACCTAGCTTACACGAACTAATCTGCTTTTCTATATTTGCCAGCCAATAAAACTCCGTTTTACAGATTTTGTTTACTTTTAACAGTCCAAGTTTAATACAGAGATATTGCAAGATTTCATGACTGAAATTTTCAAGGAATGGTCCCTGGACCACTTGCGTTTTCTCATTGGCAAGATTCTGTTTTAACGTAATAAAAATTGGGTTTTTGAATCGATATAAACAAGTAATTTGATTGCTAGTGAAGGAAAATCTTCTAAAAGTAACAATACATTCCTAACAACGGTACAAGTTGTTTAACAAGTTTTTAGTCTAGGGTTAAAGCTATATTCCATTACGCTTGGCATATAAAGCCGCAAACAACGTAAATCATCGCTTATTTAATATTGTTAGAGAATATCGCTACCCAATCGTGTACTGCAACAGATTCAATTACATCAAGTCTAGACGGGTAGCCAGTCCGTGCCGCTGGGCGTATCACAGGCCATACAAAAGATTTACAATAAGACAATAAAGATTTACATACAAAGAAAAAGTTTTTGTTGGTATTTTTTTGTTTAATTAACCTTTCACTTCTGATATAATACTTTTATTTATTGGTGTGAATATGAACGAGATATGACAAATTTGAATTTTTACTTGCATGCAAATCTCAAAGAACAAAAAAGTGATATTAAATGAACTTTCCTAAGTGATTCAAGAGTTGCTGCACACTAACACAAATATATTTCTGTAACGTTTCTATAGTTCAACTATAGTTGAACTTTGTATGTCTGAGGAAGTCTGACCTTGGTCATATATACGAAACGTTACACCAATATATTTGTGTTAGTGTGCAGCAAGACTATTGAATCACTTAGGATAGTTATCTTTACTCTTGCTACAGTATCCTTGCATTATGTGCATACGGATCCGCCGGCACAAAAGCATAGAAGAAGTATAAGTAGTTAGTCTCGCAGAAAACAAATCATTAAATGAACTTACTACTATAACGATCAACATTCTGACTACACGTTTTTTCGCTGTTAGTCTTTCTGCGTTACGGAATGATCTAGATTCAGAACGTTCAACGACGTTTTTCCTTCCACTGTTCAGTTGTTTTTTTCTTCCATATGAATGGGACTTTTTGCTCTAAATGAATAAAAAAAAACGAAAATTTTATATTTTCGTAAATCTACGTTTTTACTGATTTAAGGCAATTAAAAATACGTTTGGCTCAAATTGACTTAAATTTCAGAGTTGAAACTTTAATTTGATCAATCAAAAATTAGAAGCGCGGTATCAAATATGCATTGTCGCTGTGTTGACAATTCACAGAAAAATCCATGATTATCGGTCGATGATTACATTTAGTATATTTACTGCAATCATATAGGTAATATAATATGATCGTACGTATAATTGGCAATTACTTCACTGTATTTATTACGGCATATACACAGGTATACATACAGACGTTTCATCCAACGTTTCGGCTCATATAGGCTGGAGTCGGCAGATATACCTAGATATATATTTATCAACTATGTGCGATGCGATGGAAGACGAGGCTCGATATGAAATATAACAGTATACATTTGAGAGTTATAATTAAACTAAAATATTCGCAAAAAGTGACTTATTTCAATAGAATTACCATTGGGCGTACATATATATTAAAAATCAAAGATTGTGTTGTTTTATTTGCGTTAAAAGTTTTGAGTTCGCCTCTACTTTCATTAAGTGTACTAACGAAATAAGCCTCGCCCTTCATCGCATCGCGCATGGTTGATTAATGTATCTTGCAATCGAGCCTTCGTGGGTCGAATCGTCTATTCTGAAACGTCTGTGAGCCATATATACATACCAATGTTCTAGGCGTGTGAGTGATCACGTTTTCAGTATTTAATAACGTAGTAGTCGTCGTTTCGAAATCATTCGCATCTTTATCAGCTGCAATTGTATCTTCCTCACTTCGGCTCACCGTCACCAATTTTCTCATTGAATGTCGTATACTACGGAACGAGACGTGAGATCGCTTCGGTGTGATGTACAACCCATCACTCGTGTCATGGTCGTCTTCCGCCCCACCTGTTTAGAGAGAATGGAGATCCAGAAGTATGTGTACCAATATGAAGATAACTAATTTTGTTCGCCTACTTTACATCAAGTTGTGTAAAAGGGACTGAAATCTACGGACATGGGGTATGTTCACTTGGCTAACACAGACAGTCCTCAAACTCGTAATAAAACTAAAATAAGGAAAATTGAAATGAAATCATGGCCTAACCCTAACCTGGTAAACACACCACAGGAGTACCGGGAAACGATGATACCAACTTCGCGGTGGTGGGATTCAGAATTTTAAGAACGGGTTCTCGTTTGTATCGGACTCACTAACAACGGGTTCTATCATTTCAGAAAAGCATGCTGAATTTATAGCCTTATAAGGAATTATACGTCATGTTTACTAATGTAGGCATATCACGATGTTATCTACATTAACATGACACTCTTTATTTAAATCTTACACATAGCCAAACGCCAAATATAACACGAGTCGTCAGCTAAGTAACGAGTTCGACATTCCAAGCGCGAACGTGTATCGCTTTACCTTTGATAGACTTCGTTTTGATTTGAAATTCTTTCCATATTTTACAACTTATAAGAGTGTAAGCTCCTGTCATCAAAATACCAGGAATACAGAAAAGAATGACCAGAAGGAAGACATACCTGAATAAAACACAACAATATTAAGCTTGCAATATTATTTGCATTCGAGATTGATTTTTGTTCACCAACTATAGATTCTTCCAACATATTGGTAGTCATTATTATTTAACAACAGAAGATGCTCAATAAAGCACGATGGATTGACTTGCTATGTTATGATAAATGAAATTTGTTGCCCTCAGTGTTGAAAAAAATAATAATAATTTTTGTAAAAATAAAATAGGCCTGGAAGTATATTGTTGAGAATTATTTTTGACTAATATCCGTTTCATTTTTTCTTCCCTTAAAATCTCCTAAACAGATTGTTTCAAAAAAGTGAAATTACCCAGGAGTACAATATACTGAATAACTTTTTCAGCTTCGATTTGTGATCTTTGATTTTTAAGTGCCATTAAGATCATAATTTTATATCATTTTCTAATTGTCGATATTTGATTGCAGTAATAATAGAAATGATATGATTTGCAAACTGTTCGAGGTTATTTCAACTATTTGATTTGATTTGAAGCACACTCACTCTCCCTTCCCGCCATTTTTTCACCGAGCACAAGTGGAAATACCCGCACCGAAATAACAGACTTTATAGTTAGCTTCCTCTGATAGGTAATTAATTAATTTAATAAGTTCAGGCATTTTTGGTGGTTAAAATTGATGTATTGTACACAATTTCCCACTTTACATTTGACGTCAGAGTGTATTAGACGTTTCGTCTCGTAAATCAATTCCCGGTGGAATTCCCGTCAATTTAAAAATATTAATGAACATTGTTTCGAACGTTCCTTATTTACAATCCAAATCACTATCTATGCCCACACGTTATCGACAAAAATTTAACGTCGAAATGCAACATTAACTTCTTTATAATTAGCGGATCCTTTGACGATATATTTGGTGTTGACATACATTTGAAGGAATGTATTATGTCACAGGCTGGTTCACGTAACCTCTGGTAGGTTATGTGGCTTCTTCCCCCATCGAGTCTCGGTTTTTGCTGGACTGATAATTCTATTTGTACTTGCGTATATACACGATAAAACGTAATTCATTGAATGTATATTAAAAAATTTCTTTCCTAGGATTAATAATGCACCATGTAATTCAAAAAATGAAATTTTCACAGACTTTAGACCAACTATTTGGTCTTGAACTATTCTGTAATATTCGGATATCTTTTTATTGATTTATCGTCTTGATATTTATTTTGTTCAAAAAATTAATACCGTACCGACGTTTCAGTGTGAATGCTACGTACGTGCTAGATGCAAAGCAACGAATATTTTTCAGTGTAGACTGAAGTAACATAAAAATTATATTTCAACTCCGTTCAGACAATCCGTTAAATTACGATAAAATTATTCTTCCGATCGTGTATTTCATGATTTAGTTTTTATTAGTTTATGCTAAATCGCGCTTGGGAAGACTGAATGATGTTTAAAATATCAAGTAGTTTTCAAACGTGGCAATTCAACTCTAACAAATAAATTCGGGGGGTACAAACGACATCAACTTACCAGGCCTGTCTTGCAGTAGACGATGGAAATAACAATCTACACGCAATCGAGCATCTTCCAAAATCAATAAGTGGAATATACTGCAGGTCACTTAAAATAAAGTAAGGTAGACTCAGGAGGAAACTGAGCAGCCAAATAGCGACGATCACCTTGAACAAAGAATATATGATCAATGATACTCCCGTAGGTTAATTTTATTCCGATTTTACTTATTTTAGTTCATATTACGAGTTCGGGGACTGTCTGTGTTAGACAAGTGAATATCCCCCTTGCTCATAGGTTTCAGTCCCTTTACACAACTTGATGTAAATTAGGCGAACAAAATTAGTTACCTCCGTATTGGTACACACACTTCTGGGGCGCCTGATTAATTACACAAAACAACACCACAATGTTAAAATGAATCTTTGAAAAGTTCGTTAAATAATTGGGTGTTCCGGCTCTATAGATAGCATCATAATTTTTTTAACCCGCTTTAACAAAACATCCACATCTATGAAATTCCGCTCGCGAATAATTCTTTCTCATGCTCAACATATTTTGAAATTTCTTGACATTAAGATCGAGATTGTTTAATCAGAAATCATGAATCAGCTGGAGTACGGTATTAATTTTAAGATGTGGCATTGAGGTTTTTATTGATTTGAACTAACCGTGTGCAAGGATGTGCAACAAATAGGTTCTTCTCTCCTTATTTGAATACAAGGATTGTCAGACATGTGCGCACAATGATGTCAATGATCATGAAAATTAGTTTCAAAAACATAATACCTTTGTCAAATCTCATTTAGATCGTATTTGAACTAAAATTTCATCTCAGAAGTTGTGTTGTTTTAGTGGTACTTTTTGGGTTATAAATGATGGCATTTCCCAATGCTATTACGTTAAACAACGCGTAGTACAAATAGTAGTACAAATAGTGATTGACATAATGGCGGCGTAACTGGAATAACTGTTTTATCAAAACACACATCGTTTTTAATAACTATTTTCTTACCGACTTTCACTGAATTTCTTACTGAATTTGTCAAATCGCCGTAACGTATTTGACTAGGGCAAGACACAAAAAGATTCAAGGAGAACTAAAGAACATACCTTATAGGCATGCGATACAGTCTGCCACACTCTTGATCGAAGTGGTCGACATATTGCGTAGTATCTTTCAACTGAAATAGCCAACATCGTGAATGTTGAAACACAAACTGACATTCCTGAAAAACATCATTTAAACAATTTTGACAAATAAAGTAATGTATCTCCTATTCTACTTAAATTTGCGATTTGGTTAACATCATAACCAAACAAATGTATGCCGTAAATATATATATGAAAAATACCATCACTAAAAATTGATACAGTGAATACTTTAAATTAAATATTCCAGCAAAATATCGCAGAGTCACGGTTCAAGCCCGAATCGAACCAACATTCGAGCTTAATGCTTGTTGCATAAAATCGAGTGGAATTTAATTACGCCATATCCGAAGTATTTAAGTTAAGTATCCCTCTACGTTTACGTTAAAGTGGGTACGTGTATCGAGCCATAATTTGAGCAAAATATTAATTTACACATTCAAATGATAGCAACAAAGGTTTAAGGTTAGAGAAACGCGATATTCTAATAGGCATAGTAATATAGTCGCAGATAAGTAATTAGATTGAAAAGATTATGTTTTCAATTTGGACGTAAAGACACAAGGAGATATGAATAATAAATAATGTGGTTGATTTTTTTGCTCATGCGAGAAGATATACTGTCTTTGGGCACTGGGCAGCACTCATTTTTAGGTTTTTGTTGAATTTTATTGTTATATTATCTTGCATTCACGCATGTGCCTGGCTTTTGAAGATCTTCTCTTTTTATATTGATGTAGATTGGTATCGAATTTTAACATTGTTTAGTATAAACGTGAGAAGGATTTCCGTATGGAAGCACAAATTTAAAACATACCCATTAGTAATGGCATTACTTTGCACATCACTCTTCCGAAGATAAATTTCTTCCAAATCCTTCCAATTAAACTGATCGGCATGCAAATGAGCGCAAGGAGTAGATCGCTCACTGACAAACTGAGTAAAAAACAGCTTGCTACGGTGCGCATACGTCGATTTGCACTGAGAGTGATAATAACAAGAGCATTCCCCACTACAGCGAGTAATAAGACGATTGAGTATAAAACGAGGTTGGTGATTTCGTTCTCTGAAATGAGAAACAAAAAGCAATATAATATAATATGTGGACCAAATTATAAATAGCTGAAATTTGAACAATTTTGCTATAGTGATGAAAAATTAATTTGACGTACTAGTCAAAGGATCATTTTTGTTCACCACTGAAAGCCATAAACGTAGTTCAATTTAGCTGAAGACAATAATAATCAATAAAGCATATTGTAGTGGCAATGAATTAAAAAGAGTTAGGTATTAAGGAGTACATTTCGTTCCCGGCCCTTATTTGAATGACATCGAAAAAGGCTATTGAGGCACATTCAAGGCTACATACAAACGATTAAAAATGATATTTGGAATTAAGTTTGCATGCGGATAGGCGACATTATAAAGATTCTTGTCTTAGTGGAAATATCTAAACGATTGTAAAATTACTAATTGAGAGTTCAATAAAAAAATACAATGAATGGAACTCTTTTAAGTGATAAAAAAGCTTAAATCTGATCTGCTTCAAAAATCAGAAAATAATCATCGTTTATGATAATACAAAACATTACTCACTTGGAAAACCTGAACTGTTTGAAATAAAATCTGGAGTTGTAATATGAAACAAGGTAGTAGACATTTCCACTGACGTCGGTTTGTTAAAATTTGGAAGCGGAGTTACAGTATCAACATTTTGCCCAATGTTCGTTGTTGTTCGCCCCATGCCAGAATATTCGTCGATCGAAAATATTTCCATAGTTTCTCCATGGCATCTGTACCCTTTTTCGGCGATAATACCCGCCGGGGTCGAGGCGTCAGTGAAATTGCCGTTAATTGATTGTTGGATGACATGCATCATACGTTAAGCGGATTAAAATATCTCGCTAGGGTTTTATCTTTAATCTTTAGCTTAAATTAAATACTAATTAGTTCATTATGTTTTGAAATAGGATATCTATATGTTTAATATTTTAGTGACTTCAAAAGCGTACATGAATTGATTTAGGCTATTGTATTCATACTCAAATTTTTTTTCGAGGATGTATCGACGACGCGGTGTATCATAATGCCACGAAACCGATCGAACCGTAAGGATCACATCGACTATTGAGAATGAAACTTTCTATTTCTATTCCAATTTAATGTTTACATGTTGTGCCACAGGGGGCATCAAATTTGGCAGAACCTGAACTTCCCGTCCCAACACAGGCCCTCTCCAAAATCATACTTATTTGAAAAAATCCGAAAAAAACAGAAACACCGGATTAAGAAAATTATTCTATTAATGGGAATATTCACATATGCACTGAATTTCGAAATTTCAGATATAATTTTTGTAACCAGATTTATTGTTACATTAATTTTAGTGTTCAAGGTACGCTCTGAGTAAATCACAATCCACCAGACAATATTAATTTTGCAGGAACACTTTCACGCTGCGGAAATGTAAGAAATATAAGTTGAAAGCGATTTTCATGCTATCGTACTAGATCGAATCGAAAACCACAAGTCTAATTTTACCTCAAGTTTTTGTTTTTGACATATCCCAATCTTGCGTTGTTCACTTTCCCCGCACTTCACTTTGACTTCCAAGTCCAAGTTTATCCATTGGTATAATGGATATCAAACGCCAATTTTAATGGACAATAAATTAAAATACATCATGTTTAAAATGAAAACAATTCTTATAATTTCTGTTCTAATTAGATTACTCTGAGGGAAACCGTATTTAAACTTGATTACTATTGATAATACTACAATTCATGTCAAATTGTTTCTACTCAACTTTGCTATAAGTTTGGTTAAAAAACTGAAGCCAGGTTTAACCACAAAATCTGAACCCGAACTCGACAAATCCGTCGTATATTTTTTTAGCAAGTTTAAAAGATAAAATTACTTAGTCTATAAAATACTGTTAATCAACTTCCGCGGTGAGTGTAATTGGCGTACAAGTTTAAAGATATGTATTGACAAATAATTTGTTTGCCGATACCAACTTCGACTGCAAAAGCCCCGGCCGAGTTATGACGGAAAAAATGCCAAAGATGTCTTTACAAAAACCTTGCATCTAAGTTAGCGTTTTACTATAGCTGTAGACAGTGATGGTATTCACAATTTTAAAAACAGGTTCTCTTTTATACCGAACTCACTGACGACGGGTTCCATCATTTCAGAAAATGTATGTCACTACGTAAGCTGCATAAACATGACACGCTTTACATAAATCTAATACATAACTTTCAAAAAGCCAAATATAACGCTATTCGTCAGCTGCGGTGCGCGTAACTATTTTCTGTGGACGTCTGAAGTTTGAACCAAAAAACAAGTAGGGGTTCGCTGATATCATATCACACTATTCCAAGAGCAGGTTCGTGTGAACCCTCTGATTTCCATAACAGGTTGTAGACTACAAAAAGATGCAAATATATCTATTGTGCAATAAAAAAGTACGGAAATTCCAAAAAGCGGTATAACGAGCCAAAATGTTTTAACTTCCTTCACAACCGTCGTCCACCAGTTAAAATAAGTACCTTTCACAATTGTTTCGTCTTTTGTAGAGACGGCGTTGCTTGAGGGATCGATAACAGCAATATACATAGCGTGACACCTTTTTCGTACGAGTCTATCGTTAAAAATTATCCGCACGGTAATTGATTGCGAATACGCAAAAATCACCGAGAAAAAATATACTTCGCACGGAATGAAAAGAATTACTCATATTTATATAGTGAAGTACTTATATTTATGATTCATATCCAGGGCACCCATCGATATCAACCAAAAATAAGGACATCAGGGAAACATAATAATGAGATACCAAAGTACGAAAAGTTATAATCAATGTTTTTACGTTTACCATTTTATCTCTTACGAAGTTCCAGATCTAAACAAAATTCAAAGAATAATTTACCGGTATATTCGTGTTTTGTCTCTAAAGCACTGATTCTCGACTATAGTTATAAAGTCGTCTTTATCACGTACTGAAATGCTTGAGGTAAAGACAGTCTCTCAGAGCGTCAGAAAACGAAATCACTTGTCAGTAGGCTACTGCTACACTTACCAAATCTTAAATAATTCTACTACTCAACTGCAAAGCTCTCATTCACTACTTTATTTTGATTCAATTGGCAAAAATTGATCTTTGTCGGTAGGCTACTGTTTTTCCATAGTGGTAATTAATTTACTGTTATTATATATGTCATGAACGCGCGTGAGGTTCCAATATCATTTCTAGCAAATCAATCATTCGAATTGACCAATCTAAGTGCTATTAGACCACTTCCCCTAAATTAAAACAAAAATAAGGACACATGTCAAAATAATGACATTTTTTGGAACAAGGACAAAAATATTTTCTAAGACAAAGACTTTTAGAATAAGGACAAATCTTAGAAATAAGGACATTATGGCAGCTATTTGCTACTTGCCTTTCAATCCTTAGAAAATTGCCGCTCCGCATTATTCAGGCTGTACTAATCCTAATGCAATCGGCAGAATTTCAAAAGTAAAATATCAAAAAAATACACAAAAGATTTGTGATTATATACCGCGTTTAAAAATTTTCATTTATTGTATTTCATCATTATAAAAAAAAACACGATTCAATTTTAGTTCAAAGCCTATACCAAACATTTTCTCAGATTCGAAATGCAAAAGTTTACATTACTATACTGTGATAAAATATGAACAGACGCAAGGTGTGGTTTTTCCTTTATTGCGGAGATAATTCAGCAAATCCATAACTACGATATGGTATATATATGTATATTAAATATTAAGAAACACAATTATTGGATCCAGATTGTCGGTAATTATATTTTTCAAAATAGTCAGATTTATACTGAATACCGCGTTATCGTTAATAATAGATTGTCTCTGATTTAAGGATGATCTTACGATTTCGCAAAGCCTTAAGCAATACTGATATTTTAACACCTTTCTGTAATTATAATAATTAGCCTAGATTTTAATCAACATATATCGCACCTCAATAACAACTGAATATCGGGTAAAGTTACTTTAATATTGGGCGATAAATAAGAATAATCTAAATTAATCTAATAATCTAAACTAATTATTAAGGTCATATCTAAAAAGACTGGGCACAGTTTTTTTTTACTGTTGATTGGTGAAGCTTTTGCACTACTGAGAATCTCTCACGGCACACAATTTAAGATTTATTGAAGGTCACACTGTAATGCTGATGTTATTTCTACATGACTAGCCAATGACACCTTTCTGTGGCTTCGTACCAGCTCCGGTTGGCGTTGAAACCTTTTCTCAGGAACACCGGAAGACGATCAGCGCTAATCTTATTGTATTGATTCGAATAATTCTTACCTGTTTACCGACACCGAACGAAAATCCGCTTTTGTGGGGACATTTACGTAAAGGTCTATAAAATATAGATATCCAGAAGAGTTGGCATTTTGAAATGAAATATTATGATTGCCATTTATTCTATATACATGGTATGTTAATTTAAATAGAACGCTGACCCCAGTAAAAAAGAGCTCGGGTCTTATTATCGTTCATGTTTTGAATGTTTTTTAGGGAACGTTACCCCTATTGGGCCTTTCTCCCATTAGTTAATAACACGTTTTAAATAGATGTGAATTGATTTTATTTATATATGTTTTTAGTTTGAAATTGCGAGTTCGCCTCAAATATTATCATCCTCTTGAATAATTTTAAATTTAGAAACAGTATTAGCGCTTGTGTTGCTAAAAATTAAAATATGGTTACTTATCTGAACCTCAAGTGATATATCTTAACCTGTGCCTATTAAATAATGGAAAATAAGTAAAAGTTTTTTGATCTCTAAAGTTTGCCGTATAAAGCTGTGTTCTCATACTCATTAAATATTATTATTTTTGCTCTTGCCCATATACTTTCTTTCTGTCTTTCATTCTGAAAAATGATCCAACTTGACCGATTCAGGTAAACTCGAATGTGAATAACAGCAGTTAAGAAATTTTACTAAAATAAATCATGGTGATTCTAGGGATATTCTATTTTTCCAATTCAAAAAGAGAAACACAAATTCTAAGCTGCCTCTATAATAAAGCAATGACGTTGCTAAAATTAAGACCGGCATTAAACTACAATACGATTTGGTCCCAAGCGATTTCAGTTTCGTTCATCAGAACTCTAGCTGTCATTTTCCGATATTCATACGTTCCAACGGGTCAGAAAACCGTGCAATCTGCTCATTAAAACGACCTTTCCATAGCTTTATGAATAATAAGACAATTGCCTGATTACACTTGTGTGAGATACATCGCTGCTCGGGGTCATAATTAATCATTCTAATACACAATGCTGTTCCGGTCGTCAACATGTGCAGGTATGACACTAATGGTGCCTTAAATTATATAATTTTCAAATTCTTCTCATTGTTAAACCATCAAAACATATGTAGAAAACTTTCACGAACCATAAACCAAATTTTAACACCTATAAAGCGACAAGATTATTTTTCGCTATCGTTTCACAACTATATAGTCGAAATTATACATATATATATATATATATATATATATATATACATTTTATAGCTAAGCATATATAGGAGACTTGTAAGACATCATCAGGTCTGTGCTGCACTTGAAATTAGAAGACTGATTGCAAAATTTAATATTTGAAGCTCTAAAGTAGCACAAGAATTTGAAATAGAACAATAAACTAAATATCTGTAAGATCATATTGGACTCTCCGAATCGAGGCGAGAACAAGAAAAATGAAATAAAAGAATGATTATTTGCTAAAATCGAACCTGTACTCGAAACAAGGCCTGATATCCCTCTCAACTCGGGTGTATAAATTACACTTATTATGAGATTTAGGTGCTAGGTGTTTAGCTTAGAGATAAACACTGTGAATGCTTGTCAGGCATTTTAAATCTAATATTCATTCGCCAATTCATAGTTCGATATTCATTGGTCCCCTGTCGTTTTAACCAATAGGTCTAATGAATAAAGTATTGCTTCAACGATATTAAAAGCCACACAAAAGCATAATTTCTAAAACAAATATCGTTTTAAGTATAGATAATATCTAAGCCTAATTTTGCAAGTTTTAAAAGTATAATTTCTTCAGAATATGCTCAAATAATATCAAGACCGATGCCTAAAAATAAGATGCAATACTGAAATATCTTGTAAAATTCTTTCCATGCGCATATGGCGACAATTAAATCAAAACCATACGTTCTGCTTAACAGCCATAGGCAGGCGTGGGATTCGACCAAGACATTAAATTTTTATTGCGAATGCTAAAGTGGCAGATGATTTCCGCATTATACCATGAATACAGTTCATTGTGATATAAAAGGATTATATACACAATAAAATTTGTATCGTGTGGAATGTAGTTTTATTTTTACTATTATTATAAGAAATACAAAGCACTTTTTGAAAAATAGCATTTCGTGCTGAACTTGAACTAAATATGTCAATCAAATGTGATGAAAAAAAAATACCTAAACTGTTTAAACCGGTGATTCTCAGCCGGTGGGGATCGCGGTGGGGTGTGGCCTAAAAAGTTTCAGAACCACTGAACTATATTTTATTGTAGTAAAATTGTAGTTCATTCGATTTTTTTTCAAATCTTAAATAAAGTTACTGCCGAAAACTATATTTCTCTATTTAAGTTGCCTTGTATTTAAGGCAGCCAATTCTCAAGAATATACTTTAAGGCTTTTTATACAAGATTCGTGTGACTGCAGGTCACGTCTACCCACAAGCTTTCACTATAACTAACCAAACGGTGGAATGGCTGAATATCGTTTCCAAGTTTTTAATCAAACGTAATTTAAAGAATTACACGGTTGCATTTTGCTAACAAATTTAGCTACTCTTGAAGAAAATTGAATTATGGTATCTTACGAAAAATACCGCCAGGCGGATTTTTACCTCGAACTGAAAAAGTTGAAATATCTCACAGCTTTCTTGCAAAATCAATCTTATCAAGTCTTCCTATACTGAATGAAATTCTGACGCTTTCCCGAACAATCTTAAAAGTATTATCGTCATATAATCCTTCAAGGTGTGGAAACTCTCTTGGGATTTGGATAATTGCAATAAAATTCCTTCCTATTTCAGTGCACAGATTGTATTATGGAGAAGTATACATACTCAGAGAAGATTCGCGAATCTCTTGTTGTTGTCTTGGAAGGCGACAACAACACACACGTAATACCTAATAACCAACAAAATCACAAACAATCGAATTTAAGTGTTTCCATTTGATTTGCATTCATGATATAGACAACTGAAGCATCCTTGCATTGCGATACAGTTATACCAAAACCTTTTGAGCGAATATAAAACCCAACCAATTAGCCTACATCTTAGTGTTTTTCCTAAAAAAAATTTAGTTCTGATTGCATTTCAGTGTTCAATCCGGACGGTAATATGTTTTAATTTCAAATATATCCAGATGCAAAGCATAATATATTCATCTGGGTATTGATTTCACAGACTTGCAAGGTTTTATAAAAGAGCTCATATATACTTTGAGCTTAGCATATATGAAACGAAAAACCGGGACAGTGCGGATTGGGTAAATATTAATTCGATTCCCACCGACGCTTAGAAATATTCAACGACATTCATTCGACAGCTAACGTTAGTTGTAAAATCAACGTATTAATTCCTTTACTGAACTAGTATAGTGAGTCGTGAATCAGGAATAAATAGGCTGCCTTCGTGAAAATTGTGTTGATATAAGAAAAAATTAAATATTTAAGACTGCCATGTACATGGCCGGGATATTTAACATTTATGTCTACCGGTCTGGATGGTGGGACAGCTGATCGTGACTGTCACACTCATACTAACATTATTTGAGCTTTCATTCGAATTGCAGGTATTTACTCTAATAGCTTTGTTAATTAACTGCTCAATTTTATCAATAATTTACATACTTACGGTAATATGAACATCAATACCACAATATTTATTTAGTTTTTCAGAAATTGCAAGTCCCAATCTCGCTATTCAACCAGATCCAATATTTCGCGACATGTATCAAGGTACTCGTTAAGTTTCTAGTTTACGAATTGGATAACAACAGGTATGTAGTCAACTGCAAATAGAGGAAGTGTAGTTATGATCAACCAGGATTGTGTTACTAAAAATGGTATTTGCGTTTCGCGATTGCCGAAATTATAATAACCTATATATAAGTATATCTCATGTCCTTGAAAGTCCGCTCACTTTGTTATCCTCTACCAGTTGCACGTTGAACAATATAAAAATATTTTACACAGACGCATCTTACACTTATTAATACATAGCCACATATACTCTGGAGTAGTTTTAACTTTGCTTGTGCGGATTCTTCAATGTTTTATTTTCTAACTCGACACAGAGGGCGGATGAAACAAATCCGAAAAGCAAACGATCCATAGAATGAACACAAAAGTTTGAGCCATATTTGTTGCGTGTTACCATGATTCGTAAGATAAACATTGTGCTTCCTTAGTGAATTTGCTTTGTTAAAACCGTCTTATCAATTTTTCTATCAGTGGATAAATGTGAAATTTCTATCCTGCACTTGTGTAGGATATATATATATACTTATATAGATAGATATATATATAGACCTAAGTTTCAACTTTTCTTTCCTTTTTGGGTTAGTTAGTGTACAAAAATGGGCTATTTTTCAAGTTTTCGTATCCTGTTTACACTACAGATGTCTCTTGGCCTTCAGATTCATTCTGCAAAGATAGCTAGTCTTACTACTTTTATAATTTTTAGTATTTTGGGGGCAACCTGGAGCTTGTTGTTTCAGCACTAAATTTTAGGAAAATTAATCAGGTGCATGTAGACAAAATTGTAGTACATTGTTGATCAAATTAGCACGATGCTGGTTGTTTCTACACAGCATACACACACGGGCCCTCGGTGACCCAGCCGGTCTTGCACAGGACTTCGCAAAATATGATCAACCATTATTGAATTAATTTTCTGTGTTGAATCAAATGTTGACTTTGTTAGTGATAATAAAAACTTTGGTTGGAAAAGATTGGGGTATTCAATTCGTTGAAGTCTTTACTGCTGGATAAACAATTTGTTGCAATTCCGATATTTTTATACGTGTATTAAAAAAGAAAAAAATAGTGCCAGCCGACTTTAATGTATTTTTTATATGTAGTCGAGCGGGATTTTGAACTACTTTCAAATCAAATTTCAGTTAGATATCTGAATAATGGAAAGGTACAACGGTTTAAGTTGCTATGTCTACGATTTGTTCATCTGTACTTTTGGCAATGAGCTTTGCAAAATATTAATTCTTCGAAAACAAATTACTGGACTCGCTATCGATATCATGTGCGACTAATTTCAACAGTTCATCTATGCTACTCTTTGTCCAAAAGCAATATTAAAACAAAATAATCCATCACTCTAATGATACCCACGTCACATCAAAGAGCCGGTATAGATCAGTATAAATAGCAAAGAGTTGATTTGCACACAAATTTAATTGAAAGTAAATATTGCTCAGCAATGAAAGCTAAAAGATCCGCATTATATATTGATATATCGCCTACCTGTACCAAAACCAAACTGAGAATTAAGTTGGTGAGTAATTGCTGAAACAGGGGCACAAAATATTTACTGTGCTTTAGAATTTGTCTCGAAACGGCAGGTGGTTTATAATACAGCTAATCCATTTCACCACGAAAATCAATTGCGCACATAACATCATATGATTTATTTCTATCATGAATCGTTGATAACGATCTGATATTTAAAACGTGTCATCAAGCCTTCGTATGAATGACTGATATCAAACGGCAATTTCTAAAGAGTAAGATATGTGTTAATTAAATCAAATCACTACAGCCAAACCACAATTATTTAAATGATTTTTCCTCTGTTATGCTTTTCTTTAGGGCTTTTGGATAATCGTGTAGAGAAAGTCATAAGTGGTAGGAAACCCACACCCCAACACGAGTGGGAATATCATTCATGATTTAAAAATCATTTTCCTATAGACGGTTATTAATAAATTAAAAAAAATCAACTACGATGAATTAGAAAGAAAAATGCATAATTAAAAAACGAACTGTACGTTGAAGGAACCTACAACTATGCTAATTAAAGAATAATAATTAGTACAATGTAGAAAATAAACTTAGTACTTTCTAATTGGCACTCAACGCATTGAACATAATTATATAAAATTGCAAACCACAACTAATTAGCCTTGCTGGTTACATATATCAGTAAAAAACCCATACGTAAACAACAGATTGACACGTTGTGCAAGCCAGGGGTATGCAACATGCGCCCATATGAAAAAAATTTTCACCCCGCGGAGAAATGCTAATTTTGAACGGTGTGCGCCCGTGAAACGAGTTTTTCATTTACTTCGATCTGGTACCTGTGATCTTCTGCGAAGCACACAACGTATGTCATGAGACCAACAACCAAATTTTGGTGCATGCCACCACTAGAAAGCCTATGTATAATAATGGTGCAGCCCGTGCTTTCACCCAGTTATTCGTATCTGCCCCCCCTCCTGTATCAAAGCTTGCACACCCCTGGTGTAAAGCCACGCCAAAGTAGAAGGATCCTGGTTCTATCTGAACCAACAAGGAGGAGATGAAAGTCAATAAGACAGCTTAATCATATGGCGAACCATGACCTTCTCATCCGGTCACCAATCCATGTTAGGTATGGTATAATTGGCCAGTTATTTGTTTCAGATCCATGGACTGAACAGATCCATTTCACAGAATGAAGGTTACAGTATATCGCTAAGTACATAACAATGATGAATTATTGAAGTTATAAAATATAACAACAGTGGGGGTTAACAAGACTTTAGGTTTACTGATAGCATGATATACCTTGGACCAAAGTCATTGATTCATAAAGCCTCAGAACCAATGTGAACTAAAAGACATGACAGCATATAAAATAGAATATGGGTATAAAATATTTCAAGAATTTTTTAAATATGTTTCAAACTATAGCACCAGATAAAGTTTAAATCACATTTAGATTGAGAACAAACTAAGATCTGCAAGATATGGCGAACAGAAAAATCATATCAGTAATGTTCAACGGGGATTCTCAAACAACATGCATATTCATATTTTCAATTCAAACAGATACTGAGGTGAATAAAACTATTGCAAATTTTAAAGTAGTAATGTTTAAAACACCCATTGAATAATTGGTTTACGATTATAGAACTTACAAATTGGGAAGGAACCCCTAACCTGGTGAAATCTACATTACAAGTGATTCCAAGTCTCATTTATGTTAAAATCATGAAGAATGACATTAATATTAAGAATCTGGAAATAATTTATAATTGGTATGATATACTGAACTTACAGTAGCGATCTATTTACTTGAAGTAATTATCATTCTGATAACTGGCAACATACAAATTTGAAATACTTCGACGGGAATATATCACAGAGTTAATCAAGATTCATTTTTGCTTCAATTTGAGGAAAATTCTTGAAGAAAGACAGAAACAACTTTTCACATTGTGATATTGCGCTTGCTCCACACATTTCTCGACATGAATGCATTGATAACATTGCAGCTCCAAGATCACAGGTACGAAGGCCAAGCTTTGCTGAAAGTATCGGACCTATGGTGGAACCACATGGTGAATCATTTCGAACCATGACATCCTGAGTACTGATACCAGCTATTCGTGCGGCCTCTCTGATTACAACAGCTGTAACCACGGTTGTTGCGTACCTGGGGAATACATAATTAGAAGTTAATATGAATATGGAATACATAATGCTGTTCAGTTTCATGAAAATTCAGTTTTTATAAAAATATACACTGTAATGCAGTGGTTCCCAAACTTTTTAGAGTTGCGAGCCACTATTTGTTACCACAACTTATGGCGAGCCATTTGACTTTAATTAATTGATAAAACATTGATGGAGGAAACAAATTTATTTTCTTAAACTAAATTTTCAGGGAAGCTAGTGAGAAGATGAGCTTGTTTCTTGCTACTTTCCAAAATAGACTTGACATTTATTTCAATTTCAGATAGTTTTAGACATAAAGAATTCGAAAGTTGCAGTTTATTTCGAAATTTGCTTTTAATCAAAGCTTTCTACATCTTTTCCTGACCCACTAAGTGGGTCGCGACCCATAGTTTGGGAACCGCTGCTGTAATGTTTATGCAAATTACTCTGTTCTGAACACATATCAAATTAGACCTAATTACAGCAGTAGACAAACTTAGCTTATGTCACATTTTAGAGTTTTGAGAAAATCACCTTTTTGTAATACTCAGATCAATAAAGTCAAACTCACAAATGGACATAAAGCATTATCTATAATCAAAACCTAACACGTATAGCATTGAAACCCAGACCAAAAGATGACAAACTCCTGGTCAATAATGACAGAATATAAAATGTACGTTTTTGAAAAATGTGTCATCATTTAATTTGGTATTACCATGGCAATATCTAGTATGTTCTATCCGAAAACTTTATTTTAGATTGATTTTTTTTTTTTTTTTTTTTTAGATTAGATTGAAAATATATTCTTACTTCTGATTATTATTGATTTTGATAACAGGGCCACCATGTAACGATGGACGCAAGTTTTCTTCATGTTTGTCAAAATAGTTTGGATGAATTGCGTGAGCTGCATCAGCACTGATCATGAAAGACTTTGGCACACTCTCCTCAAATGCTGTAGGATTTTCTGCCTAAAATTGTTTCAAAGAAATATTTTAAAGAAATGAAGTTTGCTAAATAGCATATATTTGATATTACATATTAGATAATATTATTTCAGAAGCTAGAATTTAGTTTGGCCAATTGAAGTAACACTAATTAAAATAAAACTCAGATTTTCTAGGATAGCTGTGGTGAAAGGATTAGAGACATGAAATGAAATACAGGTACTCCCGTAGTGTGTGTATTAGGTTAGGGTTAGGCCATAATTTTGTTACGATTTTCCTTATTCCAGTTCTATTACGAGTTCGAGGACTGTCTGTGTTAGCCAAGTGAATATACAACTGCCCATAGGTTTCAGTTCCTTTGAACTTGATGTAAAGTATATCTAATAACAAATATATATTCTTTCAATGTGAAATGGGAATATACTATTGGGCTTCGATTTCATGCTTAGCTTCCCATTTCATGTACTTAGTATTACTTCCGAATTGAGACCAGACTTGGCAGTAAATATTTGAAGGCAGCAAAACACAAATTTTTCTCTGTACTAGCGGAAATTGTTTTGAAAATTGTTGTAAAGTGACAGATTCACAAATCCTGAATCATATTGAAAGTGCAAGATTGATAGTTATATCTATGCATAGTTTTATATTTACAGAATTTGAAATTCTTCTCATTATATATTCAGTGATGGAAGATCCTGCACCCTGTGCGCTTGACGATCCGACTTCTTCATTGTCGTACAAACAAATCATTCTAATGTTCGGCTCATTTGCCAGAGATTCCTCATCACTGCATGAATCAATGAGAGCCTTGAAAATATAAAAATTTTTGTGAGGCAACTTGTTGGAGAAATGACCATCATGTGGAGGTAGCAACACCGTCTGTATGAACAACCATCAGGATAGGATAGGATTTACATATTTATCCCGGAGGAGGAGAAGCCTACAAGATCATATGGCGAACCATGGCCTCTCGTCCGGTTACCAGTCCATGTCGTGTATGGGATTAGTTAGCTAGTTTGAGAAGCATGGTCTTGATGGTGGAGGAAGCCGTAACTGATCGGCGGTTTTGTGAAACACCCCGCAACAACGAAGAGTCCAGCAATCCTCTCGCACATAACTATCCCTGCATAGGGACCCATGATGTCAAATATTCATGCGACTTCAAGTTATGGAAAGTTTCTAAAAAAGCCAAACCTGAAGAGCTGGGTATGTACTCGACAAATTATCGAGCCGCGGAGAAAAGATCAACTCATCGAATGCTCCTCCGATAACAGAAGGTTGATGATCAGCCAAATAAAGATCCAAATCAACAATAGAATCAGGATCAACAGATAATTCTTTGCTCAGTAGTTGAGTCAACACAGGATGATGCTTAGATTGACAAGAACTGCTGCCTGCTTTCTTCACCACTGCAGCTATTAATTAGAAAATATAGCATTGAAATAAAACCAAACTACAAAAAGCAAATTTGAGACCAGATGCAGAAAATGTGATGCACTTTGCACTTTTTTCAACTTCAAAATCTGCTTTGATCACTCAAATTTTAAATGGAGATGAATGGGAAATATGAGATTTCACTTTATCGCAGTGCTGGGTTCAAATTATTTTTTCTATAAGGTCACACACACTTACTCGAAAATGATGATCTCCAAACGAAGTTACCGGTGACTAATAAAGTGTCAAGAGCTTCTGAGACTATAAATCATTATATTGTAGAATTGTACGTTATTGAATTTAAGTCTGAATCCTAGCAAATTTTGAGGTTAGAGCACCAAGTCGATTCACTGCCTTTCAGAGTCGCGAGTCAGCTCACTCCTGTTTAAATCATACTCGAATAATGGTACATTTCATAATAAACAATGAAATTGATGAATAGGTGACATAATGAGACTATTTAACTTTGAAGCGATGTTATTTTGTTATTGAAAATTTCAATAGTGCATGCTTATTGTGCACATCAGGAAATGAACAGATTAACTATTATATGATAATATCATATATATCTTCAAGTTGTTCCTTACTTTTGTTTAATTGATATTCAGCCTGTGTTGCAAGGATTGGGACCATATGAAGTTCTTTATTGATTGAAAACCTATCATTCATTTCTCTTTGTAAATGGATAGCAAGATGAGGAATTCGCAGAATTGGACGATCTATATGAACTAACCTGACAATGTGAAAAAATCAAAAATGAAACTTCTTGGAAAACTTTGAGGTAAAGCAGAATGATATGCAATAAAATTTGTTCACTATTTGTCAAATAAAATAGAATGGAGCTAAATTGTTCAAAGAATTCAGACTACTATTTTTCCTATAAAATTTGGTCTTTTTAGCAATAAAATCATGTCTTGCATTAAATTTTATCACGAAAAATTTACTCATTTACAGATTTAAGATATATCAAATTAATTGTGAAGCATAACATAAGAATTGAATAAGAAAGTAACGTTAATCGTCAAAATGGTGTAAAAAAGGCTTTTAGAGATAAAATGAAGCAATTGTTAACATAATACTGAAATATAAGATGCAACAAGAATGCTATAAAAAAATAGATGATTAAAATTCATTTGCATGAATCAGATAACAAACCTTTGTTCAATTTTAGCTCCATTTTCCGTTGAAACAATCACTCTTCCTGCCAATTTAAGGTCACGATCGAACCAACTCCCCCAATTTCCCCCTCCATAAGTTTCGACCCCAACTTGCACATATCCAAACTTTTCTCGTGCACTTTTCACTTTAACTCTAGGACACGGACTGTCAGTGTGAGCCCCAACTATACTGAAGCCATTTCCCCCAACATATTTACCACCAACAGCAAATGCAATGATAGTAGACTGATTCCTGGTTACAAAATATTTGGATTTTTGTGACAAGCTCCATTTGTCGCGTTCTCGGAGCTCTTGAAATCCTGCTTTGAGGAGCCGAGTTTTGCATTCCTGTACCGCATGCATGGGAGATGGCGATGCGTTTACAAACTCTAAAAACTTCTTCGCCGAACTCAGCATGGTATCTCTTTGATTCATTTTGCCAATTTCTCAATTCACACTAGTCTACAACTGCATCAGAAGATACTAGGCAATTATTGTAACAAATCGCAATCAAGACTGCAAGTTGCAACGTCCGCAAGCAAATTCGTCGAGTAAGCAAATATTACCAGCGACAAGCGCTAATCAAACAGCTTGAACAACCTTCGCCCACTGTGAGAAGAGCTCTTGACTAAACAATGTTTTTAAAGGTTGAGAATTTTAATATTCATACCGCAGTATCGAATAATTATACCAAAATTGTTTTTGTTCCATATCGTATCTAATAATAATAAAGAATGTCAAAAGAAGCACGTCCTGCGCCCCAACTCAGGCTGAGTATGAGTAGCACACGCCAATGCAGTGAAGAGCTATTCAAACAAGTTCCCAAAGTTTTACCTATAAATTGCCCCGTATCAGACTTCGATGTACTTCGGAAAAAAAGGCAAAGGTATACGTTCTACGTCTACCATATATTTTTGACACAAAAAACTAATCCTTCATTTCTAGGAGGCAGAATTTAGCTTATGCAACTGATGGCCCGCGGGCCACAACCCGACCCGCCAAGATATTAAGTGTGACCCTTGTCAATACTCTGATTTTTCCCCATCAAGCATAAAATCTTAATCCAACAGTTTATGTTTGAAAAGGCGCTCATGTGGACATAAATACATGTACTTTTGTTCTTGTCGCTGCGTTAAATCTTTCGCCGTTTTGCCCGGTGCGGTTATTACTATGAGGCTAAGGTAAGCGATAGCCGCAGTCTCTTCTGTTGCCTTTCCCGATATTTTTTTGTGTGTCCCAGCAATGACATTAAACAACATGATGCGCAACTCCAGCATTTTTGTCCGAAGATCGTATTCGATAGCACGCTCCAATGCACATACTTGACGAGACGAAAACGAGCGGATGTGTGCTGCTTTCAAGGCGTAGCACGAATGGTGTTCGTGCCTGCTTTGACAGTTGTTGTCGATTTTAATGATATTTTTGAAAGTTGGGGTAAAAAGAAATCGGTAAAAGGTAGGGTGAATACTATTGTTGTATATCACACCCGGGCATCGCACTGTTAAGTACATGTGGGAAAGCCAGCCTTTGTCAAATACTACGAAGTTATTAATTCAGTACGGTACGTAGTTGCCCATTTGCCGAAGTTACATATTTACTTACCCCTTATGGTTTCAAATAGTTCATGCACCTCCAGTTAGATTTTTTTAATCAGTGAGGATATATACTCATTGTTGATTGCTGCTCATTGTAACATACTATTACGCATTCACTTTTATTTGCGTATTGAATCAAAGTGTTAACAAGTTCACCTAACATTTCACTCATACCGGTCTATATTGTATAGTCTGATTTCTCAAGTATTTGGAGCCACGAATGCTTGTAATTTTCTGACTAAACCCTTTTATTAGTTGGTTTATATACCAAATTCAGTAAAATATTTTTTAAATAAAACATGAGATATTGGATTTATTAGCTTTTCCATTCTGAATCATATAGACTGCTTTATTTATTCTTAACGAAAATTAATAAATCTCCTCTCTTTCTTCAGATGTGAAAGTTGTGGACAAACCTGTCCAAGCATTGTGAGACTCTTGCAGCACAAGAGGCAATAGCAGAAATAGTAAGTATATCAATCAAGAAATTAAGCCGACATAAAGCAAAACTTTCAACTATTCGTCTAACCTCAATTTCCTATTATTTATTCACAGGACAACTATAGCAGACGGGGAGATATCAGAAGTCTGGCGACATATCAGTGACAGTGTGATTCCAAGAAATATAATGCATTTGAAAATTGCAATAGAAAAACAACCTATGGAGGCATGCAAAGACATTTGACCCTCCGGTAGAGTTGTGTATGGCCCCCACATCCTGCAGGGCTTGAGGAAAATAACTAAAAATTCCAAAGCGTAAGATTGCATAAGCGGTCTTATTTGTAAAAAGGCACAAAACACGCCAGACATACTTAAAACAGCTTTGGAAATGAGGATTACGGGTACCTCACTGCACCTGTGTTATATTTGGTTCATCAACTTTTGGTAGTACTATAGAAGAAATTCCGGAAGGGGTATAATCATCATTCATGATAAAATACTATAATATATTTTTTGAACAACTTCAATCTAGACCAGGGATCTCAAACTCGCGGCCCCAGAGAACTTCCAGTGCGGCCCTCGAACGTTTAACAATAATTGTAATAGTATTTTGGAAGTTTTTTTTTTTTTATCTAAATGTAATAGATTTTTCAAACCTTCTAAAGTGAAATTGATTATTCACACAGAAAACAATTTACTGAAAGTAGTTTTGGAATATTGATTTTTTTTTGTCCACATTTTGACCCAATTAAGAATACACATCAAGCTAGCAAAAGAATACTTGAATAAAACACTTGAGTAATTAAATTAAACGCAAAGTAGCCTACATGAAGAAGGTGGCATTTTCGAAGAAAATGGGAGTTGTAACATTTCTGCTCTTCACAAAATTCTGAAGCACATTGTTTAATTTGTCATATTTCCATCAATACAATCAAAAAACACAATAAGCTCAGCAGTCAATATGACAAATTCGAAGACCAACTTCGAACAGAAAATTTCCATGTGTTTGTATATTAATATAATTATACAACGACTTAGTTACTAAAAATCAATATCAATATTAATTCAAGCAATCCTATGCCACGCAATGTAGTGCGAAATGTCTTGTCGAAAAAATCTGTCATTTGTTTTTTTACTGATCTATACATGAAATGATAAAAGTAACTTTTTTGCATTACTGGAATTAATTAAACATTCGTAAAGATCCAGATAAACCCATGATCATGTGGCCTCGTTAGTTAGAGTTGGTACTATAAAATCATTTCAGACTGGCCTTAGTATGCTGGTGACACAAAAAAGATGCCAAACGCCAGGACAAATGTAATTATTAAAACATTGAGTTTATACTGTAGTATTTTTGTTAATTTTAGGTTCATATATTTAGATTAAGTTATTTTCAGTGTATGTATTATTCTTTCCTTATTCAAAGCTTGTTCAAAAATGATTTTGATGGTTGTACATAGAATTTTACGATTTTTTATAATAAATACTGTAACTTGCAAATGTTGCAATAATAGTGGAATGCAAATATTAATATGTAATTGCATTTGAAATTGAAGAAAATAATAAAACTTAATCCAACTGTTTAGTTGCATCACAATATATGTCACAAACTAAAACTATCTTAAAAATATCTTTTAAGTATACATTATCAAAAACTGTTTGCGGCTCTTTTTACAATTTTCAAAATGCAATGCGGCTCTCGAAAACCCATGAGTTTGACACCACTGATCTATTCTAGACGATTCAAGCATTGCTTTGGGAAATTATATCACTTCAATTAAATTGAAATAATCTCGCTATATTAAATACAAAATCGTTGCTATCATAAAGGTAAACCAATTCAGCCACTCGAAATATACTGGCCTTCACAAAGCAATGGAGGCAAAATTGAGAGTTCATGAGCTATGAACATTTGTTCTTTTCTTTGTCTTGAACTTTCCATACTCCACAGCCCCTATTAATTTTTTTTAATTTTAATTACCATGTGATGGTCATACATATCTTTAACTTGTATTTTCTGTCATGATGTATTATCTCAATGTGCCAAACTATTAATTAGTGTGCATATTTTGCTTCCAGATGACATAAATGTATTGTCATGTTTATTACCTCAGCTTGGAGTATTGACAAGAAAAAGGTGCCAGTAAATTAGGTAAAAAAATTTTCAACTCATTGTTATAATCAGAATTCACAATCAATAGGAATTATAAACAGCCAACAATCAGTGAGAATTATATGCGAAATCCCTCAGAATAAATTTGTCTAAAATCGGAGGAAGGCAAAAATATAGGTAGTTTCCATCCACACAAGCATTTCAAGAAGACTTGCTCGAGCCAAACTAAATGAGCATCGTCAGGTGATCGGTAAGGCTGCAAGTTTAATTCAGCCCTGCAACCTCCTGCATAGAAGATAATATTAATTAGTGGGCTATGAGCTAAATTCCTAAATTTAAACAAACCTATCTACGATGCATTATGTACCAGCAATGTTACCTACGATTAACTGAATATGTAATATGTCTAATAAATTCACCTACAAAAGCAAGTTCGATAGGTGCAAACTTTGTGTTATGGAATTGTATCGCAGCACAGTTTTGTATGACACCCTCTTTAAATGAAATTTCAATGATTAAGCGCAAACATTAAAATTACTAACTTTGAACTTTGTCATTATCTGCAAAATGTTCCACACAAATCTTTCCGCTATCGCGTTTGTAATCTTCTCTGATAAAAAAAACGTCTATGATGTCCAGAATTGCTCTTTACAGCTTGCCTGTTATTCCAGCTTTCCAAGTAAGCAAAACTTCTTAGATATAGAGATTATTTTGTTTCGTTACAGGCGCAAAAAGGCAGGTACTATACGTAAAAAAGACGCCGAGTAGCAAGAGCGAGCGAAAAACGGACGCGAAAGGCGACGAGAAATATGTGCATTGGAGCGTATCATGAAATACAATGTTTTGCCTGTAGTCTTATGGAGTGACGTCAGAGTTGCCTATCATGTTGTTTAATGTCATTGGTCCCAGCTACGTGTCTAAAGTGAAGGTTATATGGCCCGCCAACAAAATATGTTGCACACCCCTGACTCATGAGAAGGTCGCCATTGGGAACTCGCAAAAAGCCATCCTAGTCTGGAGTACCTACAATCAAACACTTAGCAAAGTTTAAACTTCGAGCCGCAAGTCAAATCAATTTGCCATGCCACAGCTTCAAGTCATAAGAGAGGTTAATATACGTTGAAACTATTATTTCCACTTTTCTTTAATTCAGTTATTTTGAAAGAATTGAATTTGAAAACGTCAAGTCATATTTAACGTTTCTTGGAGTTGGAAAGATTTTGCCCATGGGGTAACTCATTGCCATCTATACGAAATAAAGCATAATGGTTCGTTTCATTCCTCTAGTTCCTGTTATTATTCTGTTGTTCTTTTAATGATTTTATATTTCGAGTTAAATTAAAATTGTTTTTTCGCTATTTTCTGCTTGAAATCAGTATCAATGTGTCGCTGACTGGATGATTCACTGAGTCTTTAGCGACCCCTAATAAATTGCTACGAGTCAATATTTTCCTTTTTTGTTAGTTTTTTTATGTATGTTTATTTTTTTGCATTGATTTCTGGACAATGGAAATAAATATCTGAACCAATTAGGTTTAACGATGCCTTCAGTACCTTTCAAATAGTCGCGCATCTGATAACAGAATTTAACATCTATAATGTATAAATAACCTTTTGTGTGTATCATACTGACATTTATGAGCTTTGTAACCAGTGTTCCCTCCAAGAAAATATTACACTTCGCAATTGTTTATTTCAGTGAACATGAATATTTTAGGGCTGAGCAGAGTCCCAAATGATTAACACATTTAACCCAAAAAGCAATTCTTTGTTATCATTTTTTTTTAATGTTTATACACTTTGTCGGTGTTTATTGCTGGCATTGCATGCTTGGCTTTTGAAATAGCTCTTTCCAGATGATTCAGGAGAAACCCAGGTACTTGGACGTAACAGATACATGTGTGACTTCACAATAAACAGTGGTAACGAAAATACTAGTGAACATGAAACGGGCATTTTAGCGATGCGTTTGAAAGTATGGCAAGCCACGCTTTAAAAACGTGATGTTACAGGTGAGCGAGAATGCAATTTCACTGCGCAAATGGTCTGGTGGTAATGCGCAATGGCGCAGTTGCGCAACTTAGAGGGAGCCTTGCTTGTAACTTTGATTCACTATTTTTCCTTTTTCAACCTTTATTTTTCTTGATTTCGTAGCATATTTAGATTTGTGGCGCAGTCGTTACCCAGTAATTTTTCAACTGCCTGTAATTCTACTACACGTTGTCATATTCAATCGTAGAGATGCGATCCAGAAGAGATGTAAAATCTGAAGGAAAAAGAAGTTAATCAAGTTTCTAAGAATCTCATACAAACGGTCGAGAGACTATATCCTCGCATTTTGTGACACATCTGCGAACTAAATGTACAAATGGAGACTTAAAGAATTTTTCGAGAAATCATACCATGTAAAAAAATAGCGGAGAATTGTATATGTACACTTACTGTACTGTACTTGCTTACCTAGACTCAAAGCCGTATATTATCATTATTGTACATGGGCATCACTTGATTTGATTGGTTGGCAGAACAGACATAAAAAATGACGCAATAGCGTCATCTAGCAGTCTCCGATGTTGCCCATTCATCACGGAATTCCTCAAGGTAGTGTGTTAGGTCCTCTTGGTTTCTTAATTTACATAAATGATCTGTCTAACTGCTCCAATTTCTTGAGCAAATTGTTTGCTGATGATGCTTGCCTGCTCTACAGTGCAAAAGATCCGAGTATTCTCCAAGACAAGGTGAACACTGAAATGAATAAAGTATATGATTGGATGACTTCCAATAAACTTACTGTGAATATACAAAAATCCAAAGTCATGTTATTCGGCCACAAATCTCTAGCCAGACATGCAAACATCTCAATCAAAATTACAGGTCTCCCTCTTGAAATTGTTCACTCTTATAAATACCTTGGCCTCACTATTGACAATCAATTAAAATGGAACTTTCATACCAATGAATTGCATAAGAAATTGTCAAGATCAGTCGGGATCCTAGGGAAGTTAAGGCATTATGTAAACGACTCGACTCTGCGAACAGTATATTTGGCTCTTTTTCAATGTCATATCCAATATGCCTTAGCTGCATGGGGTTCCGCTACCAAAACAAACTTGAATAAATTAGAGATTTTACAAAATAGGGCTGTTAGAATTCTCTGTAGGGCATCTATTCGTTCTAACCTGAATATCCTATACCACAAGACCAGGGTTCTAAAATTGTCATAAGTCTATAAACTAGAGATTTCTAAACTTATGCACCAATTTAACAACCAATTGCCCCCAGCTTTTGCTGACTATTTCGTCATGCTTAGTAACGTGCATGAGCATAATACACGCTCATCGACTAAATCCAATTTATTTGTCCTCGATTTTCATCAAGCAAATGCCAAAACTCCTTGAAATACAGGGGAGTTGTAATTTGGAATAGCATAGGTCAAAGCCTTCGTCATTCATCTTATGACACCTTTAAATTTAAATACAAAAAATTCATGCTTTCTCTTCACCATTCTGCTGCCTTTTCATCCGATTAAAGTGGATCCAGAACTTTCTTCGCCTTTGCCAGCTCCACTGTCGACTTGATCCAGTGATCCAGAGTACCTAAAATATATAATTTTGGAATTCATCGTGTAATCAAACAAATATTTTTACCTATGTATGTTACATGGACCCAGCCTTACAAAAAGTATTTACTGTATTTTTAATTTCACCCAATATATCAAGGGCGAGCTTTTGCTAAAATATTGACCTAAATCAAAAATTTAAGGTATCATTCTCTTATTAAATGACAATTGTCCTGCTATATGCATTTACAATCAGTCATGCTTCCAATGCAAAGCTCATATTGTCTTTTCTCACCATGACCTCTTTATTACCTAATTACTACTATGAATTGTTTCTTTTTACATATGACCCACTGTGTGAATGAGAGGATATCATGTAAGAAGAAACCATGCATAGTTCATGCACTGTGATGTCATGTAATATAGTCAGTTATATATTGGTAATATTTGAGCCTGATCTAAGTTACTAAGATCTTGGTCTCTGGCACCCTTAATAACATCATTTTAATGTTAAACCATATTCGATTGTAATTTTTTTTTTTTTTTATCCTTGTACATTTGGCATCGTTATGTCATAAACTGACTGACATTAGATTTTTAACAATCTACCTACCTTTGCTTTTTCCATGTTCTGTATGAAGTGGTTAGTTCCACATGAAATTTAATCCTACCTTGATCTTGTAGAATACCATTTATTCATTGATCATGTGCCTTCCAGTTACACACTGAAGTTCAATTTTCTTACCATAAAAGGTTAAATTATTTATGACTACCGGTACTACCGTTGCATGCATACCATACTACTGGTAGGCTTCCTGTTCGTGAAACTTCATTTTTACCATTGATACCTAAACAACTGTAGCCCTGCACTAGGCTTGCACGTAATTTACAGATTTACGGAATTACGGAATTATTTCGAGTTACGGAAGGGAAATTGCGAATTACGTAAAGTCGTAATTATTGGTCGAGCGCTTTCGCGATTGAAACGAGCTCTCTTCAAAGCAGTCAATTCGGTCGATTGTAAAAAGTGAAAGTTTAAAAAGTAGAAGAAGTTAGAGCTTCGGTATTTGCAGCCATTTTTCTCACTTTTCTCTCTCTTGCCAATACGTCACCGTGATAATTAATGTCGCGCTTATCAAACAGCAATATGACAACGGAAGAGAAATTGCGTAATGAACCAACGCAACTTCGTCTTTTCGGCATCGGTTAAGCGATTGAGACGGCAGAGAAACAACAATATGACGGGATTTCCCGCGATCCGGTAAAAATCCTTTGCGGACCGTTGACGGTCCGCGGACCGGCGGTTAGGAACCACTGTTTTAGAATACTTAAATCGAATCCAGAATCCTATTCTAATTTTATAGTTGCCCGTATTTAAATAGTGGGATTTCTCCACCACAATGCATGAATAAAATTAAAAAAAAGGCTAAATTGTAGCCTAAATGTTTAATGTATAACTATCTTTGTGCAGTATTTAATTAAAAATGTCCTGATCATTGGATTATATTTAACCAAGGCAACGAGATTTAAGAATTTCGACGATCGTTTTTTTTGTTTTTAACAGTTCAATATTCTCAATTTAACTACTATCAAATATCAAGTATGAGCCAGTGTGTTTATTCTGTGCGAGAACCATTTTCAATTACAAAATCTTGATGTTCTGTTACCGGTTTTATCGTTTTATATCAGTCCGGACTTGTCCTTGCTCAATATATTTTCCACAATGCCTCGCAATATTTCGGCCAAATATGATAAACTGTCTTCACCAAATGCGGCAACTTATTTTGATTCTTGAATACCACCGACACTCGACCAAATTTGTGTCAATCTTGGCCGATAGGATCGTTGACTTGAGTTAGAAAAATAAGTTAATTTTTTCGTGAGTGCAAAATAAATGTCACAATAACTTTGTATTTTCGGAAAAGCCATGTCATAAAAGTATGGTATTTAAATTATGCGCAAAAAATTAATATTTAATCTAAATTTGTCGCAAATAATGTTACAATATTTAGGCCGCGAGATGATTTAATGTAAAATGAAGCATGGTAATCGGAATAACGTCAATAAGTCGGCATCAATAATTATTATAAAATGCTGACTAGGTAGTAAAGTCGAATAATGTTAAAAGCGGTGCAATAACAAGTCTTCGTCGCGAGGCAAGCGCAAGTATAATCAAACGAGAGAATACGCTCGTCTAGCATTGATAAATTGGAAACCCGACATTTTTTTAATACGATTTTAAAAAAGTCAACTATGGTTTCATAAATATCCGTATACCAGTGTCGGTAATGATAAAATTGATCGCATAAAATTGGGACGGTTAATTTGCAAAGGTGATAAAGGAAATCAAAGCTGGCACAAAAGATAAAAATCAGAATAAAATTATTTTGAATTCACTCTTGTCTTAACATCTGTCGCCGGCGTGTAGTACTGCCAGGAATATGAAAACCCAAACTCGATGTCCCAATCGAAAATGAAGTGGATTCAATTGGTTGTTATGATAGGTTTAAATGTGTGAAAAAATATCGCAATTACGGGGTCATTACCTAATCGATTTGGCCGTAATTACGGAATTGATTTTTGTCAATTACGTGCAAGCCTACCCTGCACCATACAATGGGTCATTGTTTGCGCGTTCAAAGCGTCCGATGGCGACCAGTTTCAATATTTCATCGTTTTAAGAAGGTGGTTAGAAACCGGAAGGACCTTCTTTTTAAAACAATCATATAAGTTATGCAATATATGAATGTGAAAAAATCGTATAGCATTTACTAATATATGCTACTATTCGTTCCTCAGTACTGATTCGTTTATCTAAATTCCGAACGTTTTGCGCTCTCTACATTAGATTCTAATTTTACAGATTAATATATATTCATAAGTTATATAAAATTTACAAAACTTTAAAATCATTTGTTTGCTGCTATCAATATTCGATCATTAAATAGCCGTCTGTCCGATTTCTTGAGATGACATTAACTTAATAATATGAATTCTGAATCAATATGTAATAATGAGACATTTTGACGTTTTTGCAAAATTATTTGCAATTCCAACCTATGCTCCAGTTTGTTTCTGAACAAACCATTGTTATTACAAAAATAATCTGGTGGCAAATTGCAAAAGTTTTCGCATTGTAAAAAAAATTATCAAGAAAACCAAAATTAAAACCTTATTTTAGAATATTCAACTGTGTTATATTTTGCCTTTAATGTTATGTGATTGTATTTGTGGCCGCAGAAATAGTTAGCTAATACAAGAATGTCAAATTTTGCTTCAAGTTGTCGCCAAGGAAGTCACCCTCTGGCGACCCTAGTCGAAATTTAAAATCATTTCAATAGTCAGATCTTGCGATGAAATTATTAAACATTTTATTTTGATTACCAATCCATAAATAAAATTTAATAAACAATATGGTAATGAATGAGCCATTTTTTTGTAAGAAGTGCTTTGAGGTATGTCTTAACAAAGTCGGGCGATTGTACAGTTGCTCAACAACTATTTCTGCTCACCCGTTTCTGAAAATGCTATGCGGAGAAATAATTATAAAGATATGATCTCAAAAATCAGGCAAAAAAATGCTGCCAAGGACGATTTGCCAAATAGAGCGTTTTCATATTGAAATAAACAATTCTAAATAAACTATGTAACAACATAGTTTTGCACATGATGCATTTAACCGAGAAGGAGACTCGAGGTAGAATTTGTTCCAGAAAACGTATTGGTCACGTGATCCCTATACTCGCTGATCCAGTAACGTCTATCAAAATCAATAGACTCTCAATTTTAACTTACCGGTAATTATTAATGGAACATTTAGCTACACAACGATCGTTTTTCATAGTTTTTTGGGATATACTTGTCTCGTTTTTGATTGAGTTGAGCCTCGATAATTTCTTTTCTATATTTTAAAAGCAATAAAACTCAATGAGTGAAATACATTTGATTGGTAAACATAAATAGAAAATGATATGCTGGAATTTTTTTCTTGAGTAGATTTGGATTGATCTATATTATAAATTTTACATTTTACACAATTAAGATTTTTTAATTCCAAACAATTTCAAAATTTGATATTACGTTAAGTTTAATATCATTGCAATGATTGCCTATTAGGGAAAATTCACCAAAGAACAGTATCTCCAAGATATTTTTCAAACGTATATAGAAGCATAATTGATAAAACATTTTTATACAAAGTAAAATCGCAGACACTGTTTTCAATAATTTGCACATATTTCAGAAACACAGATAAGGTTTCGTTTCCCGTTTATAGCGGAAAAGGATTTTATCTAAGATTTTTTTCATTTCCTTCGACTATTGTCTGCAATAAAATATGAACTATAAAATTCACCAATATGCCAATAAGACATAATTTTACGATAAGACATTCGACCTAAAGCGATTCAGTCTGGGTATAGTTTGTTGGATGCGTTTTGCAAATTTTTTACTGTAATATAGATGCATTGAAGTTAATTGTATTTGACGATAATTGTACATTTAGTTAGTATAAATTTATAAAAAAGCAAGGCATATGTATACCCGAAATGTAAATTTATCATTGAACAGATTGGCTCTGCCGACGCTAGACACCATTTATAATAGTACAATTCAAGTGAATAGCTATTAACCGTAAAAATTCCAATAATTTTTCCTGTTTTTGTCATTGTGCACTGACGATTGTGCAACAATTTTAATAACAATATTTTACGAACACAGTATCTCAATTCTGATCTAATGCGGTTGACGCGTTCAGCTACAAAAATAAACGATAATAACGTAAAGTTCAGGCGCCAATACAGGTTCAACAAAATGGACTCTGAGAAATTGAGATTCTATTTCGATGGATAAATAACAGCGGAGCATATCTGAACTTTCCCCTCATTTTCAAAGTTCTCAGCGATAAATTTGTATGACGTAAACAATAGAAAATCTTTTACACAATTCCAATCTTCAACAGATAGAGATATTTTACATTTTCATGAATAAAAAAATAGTATATATAAGGCAAGATTCGATTATCAGCCAACTGTTTTGAAACAATAATTTTGTTAATTCATTGAGAAAAATATTGTTGTCGGATCTATGCCAACGTTTTCGCAAAATATCTAAATTTAGTTATTTCAACTAGCCATGAAATTCCATAATTATTCTAAGCCCTCATGTGACATTACGTATCGTGGCCAAACGCGGGGTTATCTACGTTTTGGTAACTGGGTTTACTATGGGAGAAAATAAAGCTACGCCATATGTCTGGGAGTTTTGAATTACCATCAATCATTTGGCACGTCTTATATCTCGCCATTATTTGGAAACCATGACAGATCATATTTTCTGTTTTTTTTTTTGGTGTTGTTTTGAAAAGGTTTTCCCAATGAAAAGAAAATATCTCTAAGCCACACCTCGTGATTTAACAAAGGAAAAGACAGGGTCTAATGTATTATATAGGCAATTCTAATAAATGTGGTCACACTTCAAGGAAAATTCAGAATCTATCGTGACTGAGAGATGTATAATCAGTCATAGGTGGTATTTAATTATCGTTTATTTGCCATTGAGCGAATTTCAGAAAAGAAGTGAAGTCACATAATTGAATGTATTCTGAAAACACTCCTACTTTACGTGACAATTACCGTTGTTATCTGGAAACCAAAGCAAAGAAAATTATTGTAACGGTGTGCTTAAATTTGCCTTGCGAACGAGGTAGCGCTGAACGAAATATTCGAAAGCTGTACCGAGGAACAATGTTATTGTTTGATGAATCTTTTCCATACATTCCACAATGAATGACATTCTAGAATTTAAATCTTTTAGGTACATACATGACATGACAAAAAGTACAAAGCAACGCGCGACGAAAAAA